GGTCGTAACCGTAGGGTGGTTAGGGCAGTCTGCGGCTAAGCCCTTCTTACCGCATTTGAAGCAGAGGCCGCCCTTGCGCCTACGCTCTCATTCTTGAGGAGTTAAGTAAGTTTTCCTTGTCTTCTTCTCTCCTTCTTCGTCATCTACTTCTACTTTATCTATGTCCATGGCGTAAGGGTCCTTCGCCTTGGTGAAGGAGGGAGGTGCTATTAAGGTCCTTCGTACCTCGACGTCTAAGGCTTTCTCTAGCCACGTCTCGATAGTAGTGGGGGTCGTTTCGAAGGCGTAAATAGCGGAGACTATCTCACGCTTTAGCCCGTTTCTGAAGAACATAATCTTCGTGTTTTCTTTGGTGATGCCAGTATCAGCGAGGATGGTTCGGAATAACGATGCGTAAGCGGCTACGCTGCCAGTCTGTCGAAGAGATGAGATGCGACGAATCGCAGTCTGTTCAACATTCTTAGGGAAAAAGGTGGATTTAAATTGCTTAGCGAAATCCAGCCAGGTTCCATAGTCTTTGCTCGTGGCCGCGGCCTTGAGCTGGCCTTCGGCCCATTTAGCGGCTTCTCCCTTAGTCATAAGACTTAAGGCGAAGATAACCTTCTTCTTGTCGTTATCGTAGACTTCTTCATTCATATCTAGGTACGCCTCGACTTGAAGCGTCCATCCCTGAGCAAGGCGGGTATCGCCATTGAAGGGTGCCGGGGTTTTTCCGATTTCTTTAGGCATTGGTGCTGAGAGGGATCGTTCGTAGGTTTGGGTGTGGAAGTTCCAAACTTTGTCCTTGGGTGCGATACTGGCGTAATAAGCAGCCCACTGTTCGATAGAGTATCTGGTGCCCTTGGCGTCTATCTGATAGAACTCTTGTTCTTCTTCGTCCCAGGTAAAACCAGGAGGTGTCGGGGCGATCGGTGGAATGGTGTCTGATTCTGGGCGCGAGTTCTAGGGAACCGCGCAGTAGAGAAGTAACTTGACCTTTTGTTACGCTCGGCGTTCGTAAGAACGGCTAAACGGTCACAAAGAGTCTAAAGCATACACCTATGTACGAGTCGTGCGAGTTAAGCAGTATATTGCAGGCCCTGGTCTGTGTAGGTCAAGTTAAAGAATACAAGCGTAAGGAATAGAGTATATATAAAGGGATTAAAGCGGAGCTTTAATAAATGAGTCGGAGATCGAAAGTAAATAGCAAATCAGAAAAAGAAAAGAGAATCGTACGATGGAATGTCATGGAATGTTCTGTGAATATGTGATAGTGTGAATAAGTGAAGAGGTGAAAGGAAAAGAATAGAACTGTAACAGGAGGCTTCGTCTGGCTTGAGCTGAGAACCTTGTTTAGAGTCTCGTTTAAACGATGCTTGTCAGTTCGTCAGTAAGAAAAGACGAGACCCTTTTGATTCCAGCATATGCGAAGATAAGTTGTCTCTCAAAGCTCCACTTTGCACGACCGCAGTTGGTTGTACCACTGTGCTAGGACAATCACGTACTGTCGTTTGCGTGACCGCGTTTATGTCCACTTGGATTCTCAGTTCTGCCAATTGGCGTCACATCACCAGCCGCCAAGAGTTCTGGTCAGGCCTTTAAATTTGAAGCTTTAGAGTCCACAGACTTCGGCGTGTACGTGCCGCCCGATGAGTCTGATCGAGACAATTATTTTACGGTTCGTGGCAGTGCTATGCCAATCTGCATCAATATTCCTACCAGTTAAGAATTTTCACAAGATCGGAGCACAACAGGCCAGGTTTGTAAGCCATACACAGTAAACCCGCGCCTTTGTTGATCACCTAGAAGGAACAATAAGCGCTGCTATGGACAGGTCGGACCTCTGGGTCACAGCGCGTGGTCCCACGTACGATCGTCTACCGTACACTGCTGTGGGCGAGGCTGTACATATTCATGACAATGCGAGTATTAAAGGCAGGGCTCCTTCAGACCAGTTTCGCATCCTACTTGCCCGCTATGGAACCTATTAACCTATTTCCGTTTACTGACCTTCCAGTTGAGCTTGCCTTCATGATCTTCGAATATGCCGCGCGACCGACCTTTGACCAGGCTGACTTATATGATGCTAGAAGTCCATATTCATCTGCACTCGCACTCTGTCGCGTCTCTAAAATTGTCAGGCGTGTCGTGCTTCCTGAACTCCTGCACACCATATTGCTGCGGGACATTCGACACGCAGAAAAGTTCGTGCATGTTTTACGTATGCAAAAAGCGTACAGGAAGAATGGAAACGACCTCCATTTTGAGTGCGCATCTCGTGTACACAAGATGTGGATTGTATCTCATGGTGGGAATCCCACACCAGCTCACTTGCCCTACACCCCCCGGGCCTATGCATTGAAGCCGTTTGAATCTCCGCTTGACATCAGCCTCCTGGCTCCGATACTACTCGCTGCACCGTCCCTTGCCCTCAGCTGGACAAGTCTGGACCTTCTCGTAGAATGCCTGGAACATGCATGGAAGTCCCGTGCAGCTGCACATGTCAATAACAAACACTCCCCGCCTCCCTGGAACACACAAACTCTGATGCTATCGTGTACCCCCACTAGTGGCCCACGGTGGGAGCGCCTAACAGACACTCCCCAAGGATCTGCTTTCCTCAGCTCAATCTCTCACCTCTCAACCCCATACGTATGCGACAACGGGTCGTATACGACGGACTTATGTCGGGACTACCGCCTGCCCCTGTGGATGGAGATCACTCCATGGGCTTCTTTCAAGAACCTTCAAACGGTCTTCCTGCCGTACCCGCGTATCAAGCCCTCTGTCGATCAATCTGCGTTGACCTTCACGGGAATAGACTCATACGTGGAGCTGCTGACGTTGTCTGCATCCCTGCTGAGGGGCCAGTATGACTGTATTCCAAAGGAAATCAAGGCGTTTGCTGAGATCGATCCTGGAAAGGAGTGTATTCGATCAGATGGTATTCGTTTAAAGGTGTCCGAGTCTCGCATATGCTGGTATACTCGTGATGGGTGGGAGAAAGTTTGGGCGTGCATGTTGTGAAACTGACTAGGAGTGTTATAATATAATTGATATCTACATAGAATAATTGTACAGTATAATGATACTTATGTCACTGTACATGCTGGCATGTACACTCCCGAATCTCGATTATTGATTCATTTTTATATGCATGATGTTCGGGCTTCAGCCTGAGCGGAACCGGTTCAATTGTTTGTTTTGTTCACTGTCTATAACTTAGTGTCATGCTCAGCTGATGGCCATGGGTCGGGTACCAGCTCTATGAATTTCCATTGGTTTAAATTCTGAAGATAACAGCACTCACACGCTTCATCTCTGAAGCTATGATAGACAATAAATTTACCATGGCTATTAATCACAGCAAGAATCTCAGGTTTGTAAGTCGCGTATAATGCGCTCTTACAATATTAATCTCGTGCTGTCTTCCCAGACTCGTAATTAAACCAGTTTTGACCATGTTTTTGAGTGCGCGACTTGTCCGTGGTAGTACCGTAGTATACTCCAAGCTGGATGAGCCTATTTTCCTCCGACACCTGTAGGTAATGCAGAACTCGACGTGTTAATCATTGTGAACGTGGATATACGCTAGTACTATGCACTAATAACAGAAATGGCGCGTGACGAGTGAACGCGAGACGAAAGATAATTTTACATACCTAACACGAAGACGTCTGACACGCGTTTCTCTCGCGAGTCGCTTAGACATACACGTGTAATGTGTACGTCGAACTTCTTTCGACAGCATCACTCCGACAATACAGTTGCTGGCCCCTAATCGCTATGTCATTTTTGTTGCGATGTATGACAGTACTCACTTTGGCAAACTCTCCCCAGTCATCTACACGTGCGGCGAAGTCATTCAGGACTTTTCACCACAACCGGACACCTGCAAGGCACGGGAGGCGTCAACGCTCCAGTGTGGTCCGGTCATACCTGTTGATGATGATGAGAAACTTCGACACTTCGAGTGCACGCGGCACGCACATTTAGCCTGTTACGAGGCCGCCTGGCACAAGTCGAAGCATGGATACTACGGACGACGCTATAATAATTATGCGAAACGTGATAACTCCTTCGAAGAGCCACACATGCCAAGCGACTCCCGTTATCAATATCGCAATTTCCCCTCTCCTTGGCTGTGGGGTGGTTATCGAGATATAAGACGTCGACAGAGCTCACGCATGCCACTTCATCTGACTTGGAGTCATTGACGTTGTTACGCTGGTTTCAAAATGTCAATAAAGCAACGAGTACATATTAGTATTCATAGCATTCATGGAAGTTATGTCTGGAGTAAGTTCTCACCTATCAGATTCATCGTCCGTGACTCCGCGGTGCGTTATACATAATAAGTACAAGCGGTCCGTTCACCTTCGACTGTGAATTATAATAAGAGTGGTCTGTACACTACGTTCGCTGTTGTCGTTTCCTCGCAAAAGCGTTCGAATGCCTCGCCGACATCGCACTCTTAAGAACAGGGAGTATAGTTAGGAGAGAAATGAGCGATCGTATGTGAAGCTCGAGAGACACGTGAAGTACAATTGCAAAAGGAGGAGTAGAGACACGGAGATAAGCGAACAACACACGCAAATAGGAGACTGCCGAGCGGCGCGGATAGTGCTAGTGAGCGCTAGCGGTTGAGTGATTCGGGGAAGCGAATTGCTTCCGCAGGATCAAACATTCCGAGGTCCTTGGCAAGGAACTTACCACTCGAGCCATCCTATAAGCGTAGTAAGTAGGTGTTATGCCTCGACTCATCGACGGACAGCTGCATCAAGTACCCAGTCGAAAGTCATTCTCTGTAACGCTTGCGATAATATGCAGTAGCAATGGATAACACCGGTTGGAGCCTAGCCTCCAAAGAGCTCTTGATGTGTGCTCACAGCACAGACTCGGAGTCACTGCGGATCACGTAAAGGATGCGATTCCTTAATCGCTCGGTCAGTCATAGTCTCCCGCAGACCAAATAGTCTTCCCTCGTTTATCATGAGGTAAGTTAGTAACCGAGCTTGAGAAATTTTCCATTCCGTTCGACTCCCGTTCTCAACTTGAATCCCAACATCACCAGCCTTTGGGGCATCGTCGTCGTAGGTAAGCCTATTTAATATTCAGAATACAAGCTGGTTGTAGCTGGTTGTCTTAGCTGATCCACTTCTGTTGAAACTCTGCAGAGTTTTGAACTTTCCAAATATTGTGGTTCACCATGCATCAGTCTCTGCTCATTGACGAGATTCTTTCTCTCATCATTCAGTTCGTCGCTACCGATGGTCAGCGAGACCCGAAGCGCTTGGAAAATACAAGCAGCCTTGCTAGGCTAGCTCGTACATGCCGTTGCTTTATGGAATGTGCTCTTGACACCCTCTGGCGAACTCAGCATTCGTTGAGTCCTCTCATCATGTGCTTGCCAAGAGGCACTTGGGACATTCATTCCGGCAATATACTTGTGAGTTTCACATCGCTATGTGCATGCAATTTCATAATTGCAGTCCCTGTAGTATCTCACGAGACCGCCTGCTGGATCTGAGTGGGCACGATTTGACGTGTATTCACGTCGTGTGAAGAGTTTTTCATACCCAAAGCAAACGAAAATGATCAGACTACACGAGGACGCGCTCCCACTCCTTTTTGCTGAACGCCCTCCACAGTCCCTATTCCCGTCACTTTCCTCGCTCGACTTCTCCATCTTGCCATGCAATTCCTCCAACTTCACATTAATCCGAGACTTTCTCTCCCCAAAACTGACAAACCTCGCATTCACTCTCCCTCGAAAGATGTGTCCTCAGGGCATTTGCGGGGTATTAGAAGATCTTCCTCAGAAGGCTACCCACCTCGAAAACCTCACGATTTTATCGTTCTTTCCAGTGGCGCCATTTGAATTGAACATTCTGACCCATGGACTACCAGACTTACGTCGGTTGGTCGTCTCTAGCTCTATTCGTATATCTACACAGAGCGTGCTGAATATCGCATCACTTCGTCATGTTCAAGAACTCGCCTTGAATCTTCACCCTGATTTCAAAATCGACGTACTACGCGATAAGGCAAATAATAGTACCTTCCCCTCTCTCCAGCGTCTCAGTCTCACGGCATACGACCTTCCCCAGTGTACATCTATCGTATCGCTTATATCCTTACCACAGCTAGAGGATGTTTCCGTCTCCTACGACGTCCAAGCACAATCTTCCGCCATCACTTCATTCTTGAGTGCCATCGGCACGTCTATTCGTTCAATTTCTCTCCGACACAATATGCGAGCTAACACAATTGCCGACACTCCTTTTGTTTTCTATCCATCCACATTTGCACCGCTATTCGCTTGCCGCAATCTCCGCACTATCCAAGTATACAATCTTGGTACACTCGATTTAGATGATAAATTCATCATTGCAGCAGCTAAAGCCTGGAGCAAACTCGAGGACATTCGACTCTGCAGCTTACCTTGGTCCTCCATAATCCCCAGCATCAGTTTGAACGCCTTGACAGCGTTGACCCAATGCTGTCCACAGCTCACCCGTGTGCAACTGTCCTTGGATGCAAGGGAAATCCCCGAAATACCGATCGGCAGTCTCAGTACGGTTGGTGCTCAGTTCCTGGAGGTGCTCAACATCCGGGATTCGGTTATTGGGCACACTGAACTTGTCGCGCAATTTTTGCGGGCGACCATACCGAATATGAAGACTTTGTATGTTGAAGCACATCCAGAACTGAGGGATAAATGGATGGAAGTGAAGGCCTACTATGACCGGTTGTCAGTGGTGCATATACAGAATGGGTCATAAACAGTCGCTCATAGAACTAGTCGCGCATTATTTTGGTAGAGTTTGTTCTTGGTAACTTAGGTGGAGTAAAGTATTACATAGATTTGTTGATTGTCCTGAGGTTTGTAACTTTGCACTGAGCGCGCTTGGCTTCGTCGAGATACCTCGCTTCCTAATTCTAAAATATGTAAGGACGACGTTCAATCCCGTGGAAGCGATTCGCGTCCACATGCACTCCGAATCGGTCAAGGCCTCGGCCGTCCGAAGGTGAACAGATCGCCTGTAACATTGTATATTCTCAGTAATACTGAGAAAATCTCCGAGGACTCAAAATAGCATATTTGAGAAGCTGGACTCGTGGAGCTCCAAGCATCGATTGACCATTCCGTATCCAGAGGGGACTCCGTGTCCCGGTGGTAGAGAATAAGTAGTAAGTAAAAGAAGTTATATCCTCCAAACCACTTCGGACACCAAATACAAAACGTGACGACGCTAAATATGACGACGAAATAAATAAATGTGCATGCTCCCCGCACAGTACCATGGTTGATTATTTGGATCATTTTACGTGCTACATATCTTTGCTAATCGACGTATCTCCACCGGTCAACGTATTTCCACCAGGCTGGAAAGTAATGAACGTCATACCTGTTCCCCCGTCGGCCCTGGCCACGAGGTTAGCGTAAATTCTCGAATGCTGTGGATCAAACGCAGTCCCAGCACAAACATCTGCAAAACCTGGGCAATTGAAAACACGCCAGAGAAAATAGCACTCTCCAATGATAGGCGATGAGTTCTGCAAAGAAATGATGAGAGATTTGTCGGCCGTCGGTACCAGTCACAGGCTAGCACACGGTGATTGGAGAAGGTGAGCCAAGCACGAACCAACCCGTAGTAGCAAAGCTAACGCATGTGGAACTTCCTTGAAACGAGAAAATAACATTCAAATCACCGAACTCACGCTAGTTGTCAAATGAATTCAATGAAATCACGTAGAAAAGGTGAGTATGCGATGCCCTGTTCCTACTCTGCCACATCACAGAAATTCAATTAGCCTGATATGACTATAGTCATATTAATATTACTCTTTCAACCAATTTTGTTTGACCGTGACATACCCTGATTCCTTCAGCCGGTTACTGGCGATTTAACGAAGGGTACGCAGTCCGTGATAGTCCATTATAATGCGAGATGAGAGCAGTATTATATACGCTAGACCATCTGTCAACAGTTATACTGTGAGGAAAATCAAGATACATTACATATCAGTTTGAGATGGCCAGTTGTCATCTGGCAAACCAGAGCGTAAGTGTTGTTTTGGTATGTTGTGTAAAGGCTTCCTAGAGTTTCCTTATTCGGCTGCAGCATCTGCTTCACTCTCGCCATGCACCAGTGTCTTTGCATAAGTGAGATCCTGGAAGTGATTTTTATTTTGTGTTCAATGATAACGGACGACGTTTCTGCCCGGACCTATTACCTGATTTAATACCGTCATCAGAAACTCAAGATCGACGTTCCATCTTCCGACTTGCACTGACCTGTCGTGGATTTCGCGATCTAACACTCAACGTTCTTTACTCTAATCCGAGAAACTTGTCGACTCTGAAATTTGTTCTCTTATCCAGACATTCCCATACATTCCGTTCATCGGTCCTCACTTCCCGCATACGGGTTCTCTCCCAACCATGTCAAGATGGTAGTACATACCCATTCTTACTTACATATGCTCAAAAGCAAGCACCACTCTTTCCAAGCCTACAATCCCTCACATGGCGCGATTGTTCTCTCACCTGTATTACAGTCCTCAAACTCCTCTTACCCACAGTTGAGATCCTCTCCCTCTCCCTCTCATCTGAATTTTGCAAAGCCGTCATCCCTATACTCCCTACTTCCGCACCCCGCCTCAAAGCTCTTGAGATCAAGGGCAGCCCCTCCACAACCAACAAAAATCTCTCAGAAATTGAGTCCCTCCTCATCAGCTGTCCCGATGGTCTCACAGAGCTTTCCTTGATATACCAATGGCACGATGTCCCGAACACCGTGCTCAGCGTCATTGCAATTTGGCCATCTCTCCGATTCCTCACCTTAAAGCTAGGTTTCAAAAGTATCCCTACCACACCTCTCCACGTCCTCCAGCCCTTTGCCGCACTCACTCACGTGCACATCTTATTCGATGACACTTTGGACTGTTTCATACCTTTCCTACGCGCCTTCCAATTCCTCAATTTCAATTCTTCTAATAACCATTTCACCACATCCTCCAACCTCAATACAATCCAGTTCAACGTAGGAGGTTGCAGTCCCGCCAACACCTAGTCTAAATTTCTCCCTTCTCTCCTCCACACGAACACAAAGCTAGAGCATCTAATTATAAACGAGGCATGCGACTATCAATGCCTCCCGCTCTCCTCTTTTGACTTTCGCCCCCTAGTTGTGCACCCGAGTTTTGCACGCATCAGCACCCTCATACTCTCCCCCGGCCGCACGATTTCGATCATACTCACCGACTCTGATATCCTCACCCTCGCTTGTAGATGCCCCCATCTCCACATTCTTGACTTGAGGTTGCGGAATACCCCCGTGTCCTTGTATGCTTTGAACGTCCTCGTCAGGCGCTGTCGCGAGTTGACCGAGGTTACGCTCTACATGAATGTGCAGGTCGATGCGCTCGGAGATAATGAGAAAACCGATGACGAAGTAGGTCTGCAATCTAACGCGCGCTTGACCAAACTGGACGTCGGGGACTCACCTGTCACGTACGCGGGCTTATTGCGCTCATCACCAGAATTGACGACGTCAATTCCGCAGTTCCTGCATGCGATGGCACCAAAGCTTAAGAGCGTCAAGGATGGGGCGTGGTCCAATGGAACATATGAGAGTCCATGGAAGGTGGTGTCGTATGCTTTGCAGATGATGGTGACAGACGAAGAAGGACTAATCTCGGATCGCAAACCTCACCCATTGAACCCTCAATTTTTCAAACGGGGGAGGCGTCGGCACCGTGTTACTGGGGCTGCGCTGGAGAAGAGCAAGGAAGAAGAGCTATCCGACAATCATAGTATGAGCATACCATGATGAGATGAGAAGAATAAATATAAACTTGCGAGTGTGGCTGGAGTTCATCAGCAATGTTATGAAAGACTCTAGCCTCTGGCTGACAGGATCGTTATTCCTGAAATACACTACGGGTAAAATCAGGAATCTGGGCTGATTAGATTAATGTGGAGGGGACAAAATGCCATTCTTATAACACAGGATAGCTCACAAACATCCCGGTGTATTCTTCCAAAGCATGATGATACAGAGATTTGAGCATGACTCTTTGAAGCGGGTTGGGTAAGAAGATCAAATGCTGTGAATGTTGTTGTGCCCATGCGTCCATTGCCCTCAGAGTCATCGACTGCCTTGCGCTTGGAGCCAGGATTCCTAAACGCATGAGGGAGTATCTTTCAAGGTCAAGCTCATACAATCATAGCTCAACGTCCAGCTATTCTAAGAAGTGAGCAGCAAAAAGGTAGTAAGTTGAATTCACAAGGAGAGCTTCCAGCCACGATTGTGCGTTAATCGTGGTTATGGGGGCGCTGCGGGGATGAAGGACTGTGTTCCGACGCCGATAGATGGGTATCGCAGAGGAAGATGAGTGCTGAGCGTCTCTCTCCTGTTTTATGAAGCTTCTCACGATCAATTTTGGTTAATGTTCAAGCACGGCGAGCTTGACGGTTTGAATTTGCGTCACCTGCGTAGTTTTGACGGGGTAGACCGGTCACCAGTCAAATATTGTGAGTGTTTACTATTCCAGTGTGTTCTTCAACGTCTTCTAAACACTCTGGTAGTATGTCGTAGTGCGGAGTCTACATAGTTTTATGCTGTCCAAACCTTCGCAATCAACTCCGTCAAGCCTTTAGGAAATAAGTCAGGTAAGAAAAAATGACAAGGGGTATTGATCGCACCAATGTCGTTTGTGTTGAATTGATAGACGCCAACGAGTACGCCGACCGTGGCCGATCTCAGTGTCCAGGTCAGGATAGGGCTAAGGATAGGGAATTTGCGTTTGTGCACATAGTCCACAATCATCGAGTCGAACTAGCAATAAAAGGTCGACGTTTATATCCTTAGGCATACCACCTCTAGCGGTCACGTACCCCAATATGAGAGTGCATCACCAAGCTGAGACCAAGCAGTCCGTCGAGGACGGGGTAAGATGACCCAGAGGTCACAAAAGCGGCTGCAGTCGCGGGAACAAGGGAGGCAGCAATAATACGCTCAAATGCCCAGTGATACGAGCCATGTGTCCTTGATGGAGGAGGGAACTCCGTGGGGTCGTTAACCGTGCCCTTCAAGATAGCTGTGGAACATCAATGAGTTTTCCTAGTATCAAATAGAGTTCCAAGACGTACGTCCACCTGGTACATACTGCGTAGTTGAGCTTGCCGCTCTCACTTTCAAATACAGGTAAGCTTGATCCACGCATGAGGAATAAGAAAGGTTCTACCTTGCAACACGGATCGCAGGGAATTACGTCCAGTTGCGGAAGCAAAGGTTCTGGGTAGCGTTGAGCGAAGGATCATGGACGAAGCCATCGTCGCTGGTGGTGTCAACGACGCTGAAGAAGTAGTGCGAGAAAAGTCGTGTGCACCGTGCGCACCTGCGGGGCGCGGATGAGCGTTGGAAATAGAGCCGCTAACCAATCACATGCTTCCGGTTACATCCGAGTTTGTTCGATCGCTCATGACGACCATACGCATTAACCTTGACTTAGCCTAAACCTCGTTTAACTAAGTTTATGCTTCGGAGGCTCTTGCAATTGCTCATGATGCCAGATGTTAATATGCGGTCAAGCTTCTTGATTCCCATCCCTCATTGTTTCAACATCGAAGAGCTACCATCTGCAGCGCTTGAGCGCTCTCGAGTCCAGGAGTTGATTCGGTGTAGCAATCAGCCGCTAGCTGAACTCAAACAAACACTTGACCCGCTATCGAGTCACATATTGAGTGGCCTGGCATATACCGTTGGTTCTGCGCTAGGATCTGAGCCGCCAATACGAGAGGAATGCCTTACAGCATTCAGCGTACCCAACAAAGTGGGACTCACAGCTGGTGCTCGTGCATGGTCAAAGCATTCGCACCGCTCCCAAGGGGAGACACCAGGGGCAAAGGATTTGCCAGTCAAGAGAAACAACAAAGGACAGATGAAAACAGATATGGGGTGGTGGGGCACCCCTTCCGGCTCAGTTTCCTCCATCAATGAACGTGCGCTGACATTATTTGAACGGGTGGTGGACAATTCGACCTGGAGGAATCTCCATTGGCTACCGCATCAGGTCCTGGTATATGAAGCACGAGTAGCAGAAGGATATGGCATGCGCTGGTCCCAGGACCGTAGTGTCTTAGAGAGCGGTGGAGAAGTTGTTGCTGAACTCCCTTTGTGGACATTCCGAGGATTTGTGGAGCCAATGATTGAAAATGGTCACGAAGTAGGATGGAAACACCAGATTTAGATACCCAGCAGTACCACTTAAGCTCATGAGCTCGATTGATTGCTTAATGCACGATAGCTGGCCATAGTTATGGGCTGGAAGCCTGGAAAAACTTTTGTACTTACAGCTGAATCCTGAAGGTCAAGGTCCTTGCAAGGACAAGTGGCGTGACACCCTCAAACGCGTGACTCCCGCCGCGTGACCGAGAAATATCGTGTCACACAAGAGGCCGCCTTTCCGGCGCTGCCTTGCCTTTGATTTCTTACAGTCGTCAGCAGAGTACGGGCCAACGTTTTCGAAGCTATTTTCAAGGAAACCTTACTTTGCTGCCTCCCGTAGAATGTCAAGTTCTTCTATGAATGGCGCTCGCAAGACATCATCTCGATCTACTCATGCGCAAGCCATCTTGGGTCCCGAGCTTTGTGGGAGGTTGTCTGAAACGAAAGTTCTTCTGGTTGGGGCAGGAGGAATAGGATGCGAACTTTGTAAGTCTTTGAAGAGTATATTTTCATGTTGGATTTCGTGATTATGATACCATATGTGACAGTGAAGAATATCGTCTTGACTGGCTTCGGCCACATAACCCTCCTTGACCTAGACACCATAGACCTTTCGAACCTGAACAGGCAATTCCTTTTCAAAAAGAAAGATATCAAGCATAGCAAAGCCATGGTGAGCCGCTTATTTGACAGGTATCGTTTCGGGGTAACATCATAGCATGGTCCCGTAAGGTAGCAGCCCAAACTGCTGGCGCTTTCAACCCCAACGTCAACATTCATCCCATTCATGCAAACATAAAAGAAGCACAATTTGACATTGAATGGTTCGGTGGTTTCGACATCGTTCTGAATGCACTAGACAATCTCGGTAATGATAACCGACGACTTCAGTTCAACGTAGTTTGACGGAATCGCATTCCAGATGCGCGAAGACACGTTAATAAAATGTGTATGGCTGCCGGTGTTCCTCTAGTCGAATCTGGCACTGCCGGATACCTCGGTCAAGTGCAGCCTTTACTCAAGGTATTGGATATTTTGGTCGATGCGGCTGTGTTGTTGAAGGATTTCTCATTCAGGATCGCACAGAATGCTTTGACTGTGTGCCGAAGCCCACACCGACGACTTTCCCGGTGTGCACGATCCGGTCCACACCGTCTCAACCTATTCACTGCATTGTCTGGGCAAAGAGTTATCTACTACCGTGAGTTTGTTCATATGTTTTTGATGAGAAAATACTGTACTACGATATCAGACAACTGTTTGGTGAGGACGAAGATGGGACAGATGAACTCGATGAAGCGGAGAAGCAAGGGGAAAACGGTAGATTTGATTACCCTGAAGGTCTGTATGCATTGCTAAGGAGGCGTTTCACACAGCCGAAGAAATCGCTGCTCTACGCAAAGAGGCGATCGCGTATAAAGCAGTTCGAAGTGCACTCCGCTCAGCACAGACAACGGAGGACGTGGCTCAACGTGTCTTCAAGAAGGTCTTATTTTACACCTTATCCAAAGGCCGACTTGAGGTGTTGATTTCTTGCAGGTTTTCCACTCGGATATCCTCAATCTGTTATCAATGTCTGATATGTGGCGCGCACGTGCGGCACCAACGCCTCTTGATTTCAGCGCTATCCAGGAAGGAAGATTTTTCATACAACGACCTTCGAACTCGAGTACGACTACCGGGAGCGCACAGATTATGCACTTCCAGCCAGCAAACGGCCATGTGAACGGAAAGACCCCTTCGACGTCTTCGTCGTCTAGTTCGTTGAACGGTGTTTCGGGACTAAGGGATCAACGGGCACTCAGTTTGCACGACACCTTGGAGCTTTTCATATCAAGGTGGGCATATGTGTCATGCAATTAATTAGATTTCTAAACGAGAATTGCAGTACCAATCGACTTGCCGAGCGGCTTCGCAAAGGTGAAGATACAATTTCCTTCGACAAAGATGACGACGATACACTCGATTTCGTTACCGCTGCTGCAAATCTTCGTTCTGCGGCATATTATATCGATCGCAAGACACGTTGGGAAATTAAAGGTCTATTTCTATGTCGCTGGTTCTCTTTTACCACTCATCTCTCCCTAGAAATGGCAGGAAATATTATCCCCGCGATTGCAACCACCAACGCCATCATTTCCGGCCTCATAGTTTTGCAAGCAGTCCATCTCCTTCGCAAATCATACGCGCAACTGCGCAATGTCCACGTGCAGTTCAAGCCAACCAATCCTCTCAGCACCAGTACTATGTGCCCACCGAATCCTAAATGCGGCGTCTGCCGAGATACCTACACCAAAGTTTTGTGCGACCCTGCTCGTGTAACATTAAGTGAACTTGTAGATGGCGTACTCGGCAGTGATAAAAGGGAGGTTAGTGTCTACGAAGACAAGCGTGTCCTCAGCGATCCCGACTGGGACGATAATCTTGAACGGACACTGGAGAGTTTGAATGTTGGAAGAGGCAAGTTCTTGACAATCGTGGATGAAGAGGAGGAGTGGGGAACGATTGTAGTTGCGTTGAGCATACTACCGCAAGTGACATGGATTTTCTGTCGAGTTTTTGGCTAATGTGCACCGCAGACCTAATCATCCTTCTGATGGTCCGGCGTACATACTTCCGTCACCACTGCCATCGCCTCCTCGTCTAGAGAAGCAGCAATCGACACCCCCTCCTGTGCCATCTCGCAAACGGTCCGCCCCAGATGACAAAATTGTGGAAGTCGGGCCGTCCGCCAAACGCGCAAAGACAGATACAAATGGCGCAGCATCGATACCGGATATCGCGAGTCCTAACAAGAGAAGGAGGTTAGAAGAGGACGGGCTGTTGATATTGAGCAGCAAGGATGACAAGATAGAGGACGACGTGATTGAAATCGATTGAGACCTTTTCCTGCCCCGTTTTCTTGTCCTGCTTATGTTATTGGATGTTTTAAGTGCCCCAGTTGCAGACATCGAGGTGGACATAATACTACTCGGAGGTGCGACGTTGCTGACAGGCGGTATGGCAGCTCGAATGATCATGTCAACCACTATGTGCACACATGGAGTGATAGTCTCCAGCTGCTTTTGGCTTTTATCTCTGCTGAGGTTCATGCCAACTTACACGATTGACTATCAAGGAGATGCTGCAGAGGCGCTGTTGTTTTCCTTTCCGACACGAGAGTCACGCTAATCACGGAGTCCTCACTTGAAACTATTTCTGTCTTACGTCACGCCCGGACCAGAGCCCACGCTGCCTTTATAATCCCGCATTTTCGGTTAGTTATTCGAACCCGGTGAGACTTAGTAAGTTACCAGACCAAAAGCTGATGTGCGATTGCGTGACTGTTCATCACTGATACACATTTGCTTGGAGTAGGACTATTATTGATCGCCCAAAATATCCACATAGTATCAGAATCTTTTCCGTGGAATCGGGACAATGAAACACTTTGCTGAAATATGCATTTCTTCTCTGGACAGCACGTGTCAACGGAACCGACCAGTACATAGTGCAATCATTGATCGTGTTCCCTCACGCATAGTCTCCCGCAGTTTAGACTAAATCGCTCATCACCCCATTGTTGTCCCCTGACAATGCAGTTGTTGCAACGGTCATCAGATCCGTTACCTGCTTTACGGGGCTGGCATCCAGGAGAACAAGCCGTTCAGGCAATTATCCACCTCCCCGAGCGCGTTGCAATCACAGCAATTGTGGATAGGCTGCCTGAGCAGCATCGCATCTTCCACACAAGCCGACTACATTTCTTGCCAGTCACTACTCTGGACCAGCAAGGGAGACCGTGGGCATCTATTCTTTGCTCAAGTGATGGGATGTCAGACTTTATCTCATCCCCTACAGATGCTTTACTAACGATCAAAGCGCATCTATGGCCTGGAGATCCAATCATTCAAAACTGCTCCCAGCTTACATGATGAAAAACCACTTTTTTCCGGGATTGGGCTTGAGGTTTCGACTAGAAGGAGGAACAAATTCGCTGGCCATATATCCAATGTTTCATTGAGAGATCTGGACGCCGATTTTACTGTCGTAGTTACTCAAGCCTTGGGGTGAGTTGCCGCGGCTTCTTTGTGCTGTGGCTCTGTCTCACAAACTGTAGATTGTGTCCGAAATACATCAATATCAGGTCGATCATGCCATTCCACGGGGCATCGCCACGCCTCATCTATGAGCGGTTTAGCCTAGGGGATGGGGAGCGCCTGCCTGATGATGTCATTGCATTCATCCATGCAGCTGATACAGCTTTCTTGTCCACGTCCTACGTGGCCGCCCAAGAGGATGAAAACATTTATCCTTCTCGAGTTGGCGTCAATCATAGAGGGGGTCGCCCCGGATTCGTTCGAGTTAGACCATCCGATGGGAAGACTCTCGTGCTTCCAAATTATGCCGGTGAGAAGAACGATATACCACAGGGCGAGTCCAGTATTTATATATAACACACAGGGAATCGCATGATGAACTCACTGGGCGACATACACATCACACCAGTTGCTGGAATTGTTTTCCCCTCGTTTTCCACTGGATCAATCTTGTATCTTACCGGGAAAGCCAAGACCCTGTATGGCGCATCTGCGCGAGCAGTGATGCCAAATATGAATATTATCTCCACCATCTACGTCACTGGATTCTCCTTTGTCAAAAACGCCATTCCGTTGAGAGGAGACAGGGCCAGCAGAACGTAGCCCCTACAGCCCACCTGTCTGCTACTTAGCGGAAGAAAAGCCACCATCTGTATCATTCGCCGACATCATACTTAGCCTGATAAAGACGCGAGTGCATGATAGCACCCTCATCACCCTCACTTTCGAGTCATCACGACCTGTGGATATGCATCCAAGCCAAAACTGCGTGCTGGAGTTGACGGAGTTCCTGCGCAAACGCTCACACGAGCTGTTAGACTGGGAAGAAGATGATAGCACAGTTAACGATGACTGTGTCCGTACTTGGACGGTTTCCACACCTCCAACCCCAGATGCACCTTGCAACCTCTCTATCACAATGAGAGCGATCAAAGGCGGTCTTATCACTCCAATTTTATATCGGCTTGCTAGGAGTGTTGATCCGCAGCTGACTGGAGAACCCATCAATGTCGCAGACTTGAAAATCTGCGCTCGACTACGAGGTGTCGGAGGCGATCTTCCTGTCCCAGAGCCTTTAGCAGCATGCGACGGTGGACGACGGCTGCTGTGGATTGCTGGTGGAATTGGCCTCACGCCTTTCCTGAGCTTGACTCGTCATGTTACAGACCTCGCTACTCGGGGATTCGGAGACTGGGATGTGACACTCGTCCTTTCAACGCGGGAGCCGGAAGTTATGCTCAGTTTGATTCAAGAAGCGTTTGTGAATATGTCATCCGGCAAAGTGAACGGCCGCCAGTCGCTCCCCGGCCTTACATTTTCCATTCATGTCTACTCCCCAAGGTTCCAGTTATCCGAGTCTTTTCCGCCATTCGTGTCCCTGATCCCGCACGAAGGACGCCTGGACGACAGTGGAACTCTTTTTGGCAGTGTAGACGCAAAATTTCGGGAGGCGCATATATGTGGCCCGTTGCCTTTCGTTCACATTGCGATGAAGTCACTACAAGCTGCTGGAGTGGATCCAGAGCGCGTGAAGCGAGAGAGATTCACGTATTGAGAAAGAGGTTGAGCAGATCGAGCCATATACTAAATGGGACAACTGTTACCTTTCAGTGGGGACATCCAGGAGGTCTTATCATGAATTAGTATTTCCAGCAAAGCATCCGGTTTCACAAATGACAGAGTTGAACGAATACGGCCTAGGCTGTGGTATGGGGTACGGCACGAAGGAAGTGGCGGAATACCGCTAAGGGGGATTGGGGTTTTGTGATATCAAATAATGTATGAAGATTGATCCATATACCGCTTCGAGCCGGTGTTCTAGCGTTTGCGTGGAGCTTGCTTCTAGCTGGCATTAGAACAGTGGTAGTAAGACCGATCAACTATATACACCGAACGAAATGATTTTCCCAGTGGTCAGATATTGCTCGTCGCGATCAACCGTGAGCACAAAGACACATGAAGTCGCAGCTCTGTGACGAGTCTGCGAGAGATGCTGAACCAATTAGACCCGGCCAACATGTAGAACCTAGTATTCAAGTGCGGGGCCTCCCCGCTTTCTATCGTGGGACAGATGATGTCATGGCAGTCCAGCAACAGTCCAGCATTGCATCGCGAAAGCACGCGCCCATGATATTTTAACAGTTGATAATGAAATTACTTCTCATACGCAAAGCAGGAGTGAGAAGGAGCCCGTGACGTTCTCAAGATTTACAACGATGTCAACTGAGAATTGCTTGGATAGTTCTACAAATCATGCTTAGATCGAAAGTTAACTTCTCCAGTTAACACGGACTCGAGCTCTATTCACAAGAAATTCCTGCACTGTCTCTGAGTCAGCGAGATAAATGATTGCGAACGAAAGTTAAATCATACCTACTCGAGTTGGGTGTTTAGGGAGGTCTTGCACCAACACTCAAAGTACCCGGAGTGGTGGCCTTGACTGCCTCCAACTTATTCATTTCCTCCATCCAGTTCAGCATTCTCGGAGAAAGCGACTCGCCCTCCGGGGTTGCTTTCAGATCTGCAAGCAGCGGGAACAAAAAGAAGTCCGCCCAGCTCAGCTTGCTTCCGAACACATAGCCCTCGTCTGCCATTAGTTCTTCCATTTTACCAAGCGATGTCCTAAGATGTTCTACAGCTGGTTTGATTTGTTCGCGAATCACAGAGTCTGTAGGTTGACCGGCGTCAATGGCAGCCACACGAGGTTTCACGACCCCTTTCTCAACAGCAGGGAAACCTGAAGCATGAAATCAGTATCATAGGCTCGATGTGTCTGGCTGAAATTTCAAGTTTACCATGTGCACCAGCAAGGCTCACAAACTCCCACATTTGTTCCTCGATGATGGCCTTCCCGTCACCCGGGGAAATATGCAAGCTTGGTTCTGGTGCAACCTTGTCAATGTAGCGCGCGATTGCCGCGCTCTCCCGTAACTTCAGGTTAACTGTCTTGCCATCAATTTCGTGGATGATCAAGGTGGGCAGAAACCCGAATGGATGGTTCTCATATGCTGTGTCTGAATGTGGAACGCATCTAACTTGAGTGAAGGGTATCCCCTTGTAAGTCAATCCGAGAGCTATGGATCGGGTGAAGGTGCTGAATGGCGTGCCAATGATAGTGTAGAGAGGTGGGGTCATGATTGATGTTGGAGTGTTCGATGGCACTGCTCAGCTGACTTTAATCACCCCGGTCAATAACGGCTAGTTACTTAGTATCCACTGGCAGAAGTTCGAATCGGAGTCCCGAACATGACAGGATGTCCGATGATGGTGAGAACCTAAATTGTCCTACGTTGCGGTCTATTCGTGACTGCCCAACATCTCGTGAGTCGCATTTTCGTGACTTACCGCAAATCACGTGACCAACCATCACGTTTCCACGCCAAAAAGTGGCTCACGCCGTGGGCACTAACGAATGGACTTGGTCCCTTGGAAGACAAATGTTGAATTCGACCAACGTGCGTGTGCGAAGTAGTGACGACTTGATGACAATTGCGGAAATATTAATCTTAACCTTTGTGGTTGGAACGCAGAGACGCCTGGCCAGCGACGAAGGACGTCAACGCGTGTACTTATCACATCTAATGCAATCCTATATATGCCATTCCCTCGCATTACCAAGACGGAGTTAGAGCCAGAAGGTTCTTCTATAGTCTATTGTTGTGGTGGCCTCTCGGACTTATCCTCCTTTCTAGAGACATCACACAGCATCTTTAACAGATACCCATAGCTTCGCCACTGAAAATAGTAAGCAAGTTAAGATGTTTCCAGCAATTGGAGTGAGACCAACTGCGCCCTAAATTTGTTTCGACATACTTGGTGTGTTTCATACTAAGTAATAGTATGCAGGTATAAATAATTTACAGATGCTGTTGAGTGACAGTCAGTGCATGTTGGTATCTGTTTCTGAATCTGTACACATTGAATATCAGTAGCAACTGAACCTTGAGAGGAATCTGGTTGGTTAGGCCGGTTGGTTGAGAGTATGGCGACTCTCAGATACACATGACCAAGCGATTTTATTGTACAAGCGTAGGTGCCATCATACATAGGAAACGCAAACAAAATTGACTGGGGGTAGCACTGCAATGAAGAAAGAAGGCCCAGTTTGTTAAGTTACAACCCAAATTTATATTTAACTAATTTCAAATTCAACGAAGAACTGCATTATTTGCGACTTCGCATTAGGAAGGTATTGTAATTCGCTGTGGAGACAGATTAGTTGGAAGCAACTTGACCGGGGACCATCAGCTCGCCTTTATGCGGCAATGACTTCGGAGTCGCTGAGTTTGTCATATGGACATGACGCCGGAATATTTTCATCCAGCAAGAAGTACTGCTTGGACTCCCGCGAACCTTCCTCGCCGTAGTTCTTCAGCTCGGGGCTGATAGGAATTGGACCGTACTTGGCGAGAAGGGCACGAACTTTTGCAAGCGCGCCCGCGCGCTTTGCATCAGTGCTGAAGAGAATGTCAAAAATCCACTTTGGCTGGAAGACCATGGTCAGGCCCGGCGCACAACGCGTGCGCCTGACCTGGTGAGCAGGGGTTTGGATGATAGTAAAGAATGATTCTCCACCGAAGCAGAAGCACCATCTGTCCGTGTCAATGTCGTGGGGTATATTTGAAGGCCAAGGCTTTTTATCAAGCTTGGCGAGACCGTTGAGGAGTTCCCAGAACAGAGTATTGTATTCCTCTGTTGTTCGTGAGTTGTTGTCATTTTTCTTGGCAAGGAGAACGAGTGAGGTGTTGGGGCCGAGCTGGCGAGCTTGAGGGAGGTATGTGGAAAGTCCCTTGGCAAGAGTATGGATATGTCGTGGGTCCGACAGGTCATCCGAGTCGATGAACAGATAGCGCTGGTCGTCTGATTTAAAGCCCTTTGTGGCATAGACGCAGGGGAAGATTAGTTCTTCATCGAAGAGAACTGCCTTATAGTCTTCATATACATTACGCTGCCACGTTCCTTTTGGAAATGCTGCAGTGACCTGCGCCCTGAAATGGATATATATTAGACTACAGTCTCAAAGGGGCGCGCGTGTCCGTACCTTGTCAAAGGATTACCCTGTTGGCCGTCTTGTTCGGGGCCAAATGCAGCTCGAATAAAACCCTAGTCGTTGTCGTTGGTCGTCAGTTCATCTATAACTGGCAACCAAAGATGTCTGATACCGACAGTGAGCGAGAATAGTGTATCAGGAAGCGTCTTCGGTACACTTCGAAATTTGATCGATGCAATATTGACAAGTGTAATCATAACGCCTCCAATGAGCGATGCGGCTAAAGGGTAGATGTCGAACATGATTGAAGTTGGAGTGTTGGAAGTTGGAGTGCTGGAAGTCGGAGTACTGAATGTCTGGTAATGTTGGTAGAGATTTTATAGGTCTCAATATCCACTCTGACGAAACCAAAAAATTGCGTGACCGAACGACGCTGATCTTTTGTCCAACTGAAAAGCATCATCACAAGCCAAGGTTGGACGATTGCTTTGTGAAACGGGCTATGGGCGCGGCTAGGCTAGGCCTCGGGTAGTGTCATACTGACCATTTACTGGGCATACTTCCCATACAACGAGACGTGCTGCAATCTGTGAACAGCTGGCGTCCGAGATTGCGACTTTTCGGTAACCTACTTCGTTCCAGCAGTTAATACATGATTTCGTCATTCGGAGGTCGAGCCAAGAGGAGCTGCTACCACATGTGCCACGCAGGTAACACCCTAAAATGAGACAGAGCACACCGTTCACGACGTATCATGAAAATCCCTCAAAACAAGCTGACACTGATCGCAGCCACAAATCAGAAATATGCCTAATTCCCTGAGAACACCAGCCCAGATTCAACGATTCGAACAGAATGCACGTTGGCTCACCGGATGTAATGAACAAACAAGAATTTCCGGTCCACTCATAAGTCAATCCGGGGAGAACAAATAGATGTTATGGGACAGTGCCTCGACCGAGGTCATAGTCATCAGGGAAATTTAGCTTCGTGGCGTAAGTTATGGCGTAACTAGTGGTGCCAGCGCAGGTTCATTCCAGAACTTTGATGTTTTTGACATCACCACCTCCTTCCTGATTTGTTGAAGAACATCGTCAAATGGTTGCCTGCAATAGTCCTTGCAATCTGCATGTACGAAAACATTAATGACGATCACAGCAATTTTTGTATCATTCGTTTGCCTCAGGTTGTCGATGAATCGGATCGGAAATTCCGGGCCCCCTACATTCGTGGCAGCGCCCGCTACCTCGAGTCCAAATTCACTATTGCATGTGTCGCCATTCCAAAAGAGCCCATATAACAAAGCGCAAGCCTGATTTTCAGTGCAATTAGGATTTTGTATGGAGAGAGCTTGAGATCTCAACTGGCAGGTGCCACAAGGCGTGTGGTCACGGGCAATCCACTAAATTACAAATCAACATTCAGGTACCGCCAAAAGCCAAACAAAATATCATTGTTCCGCAATCAAAAGTGGTTAACATACAAACTCAAGGCTTGATGCACTGCGATGATCACTTGATGGAATGTTTTAGTCTTAAGCCTCGCGTACACGCTCAGGTTGGAGACACTCACGCCGGAATTCCTTCTCTTCCTACTGGGTACGTTAGCGAATTACGGTGGCCATCTGACATTCCTTTCATTTGCCAGAAAGATCGAGTTACATTTGCACTCGCACCGAGTCGCGTGGGACTCCAGAGCTCGATGTGTCAAACGGGTAACATATAGCAAGCCAAGCTCTAGAACACATTAACGTCGTAGTATTTCACTTTCATTCCGGGAGGAGGAGCCTCGTACTTGAAGATCTTCCCCATATCCGGCACCTCCTGCGGCACGTCTCCTTTACCTTTGCGCACTTTCTTGCTCCATCTTGCGTGGCCCTTGGACCTTGCCAAGCAGGGGTGCCAGCGGTGCACTCTCACCCTCCCACATGCTCCTGACACATCAATTGTACCCTTCCGTGTGTTCATTGATACTGTATCCTCTGATATGTTTGAAATCGGTGTGGCATATACCACGGACAAGTCGAGTGGGGCCACCACATGCTCTTCTCTCTTGGACGTGAACAAAGTTGTTACGCGAGTTTATTCTCTCCCACCATGTCTACCCATCCAGACCCCTCTCGCACTTTGTGAGACACTCCCACCGCACACTTATCTTCCGGTTACCTCCTAATTTTACTTAGTACTTTCGCACACCTCCTTTGCTCTTCTACGTCTATCTGACTTCTTGGGCGCCATCACATACTCACACGGTCTATTTCCTTGTGCTTATCGTTGTTCAATTTCAAAATGCATCTGGTTGATTTTCCATTGATGGATAATTGAAGGTGGGGCCCACAATAGCATGTACTGTCTACATCGGGCTTTGCCCTCAGAAGACAATAAACAGGATTTAAAAAAAAGGTGGGGCCCATGACAAACCATCCAATCTTGTCATGTATGACCAATTTATGGCTCTGTCAGACGACACGTTCCGGGACATAGATTAAGAACAGAATCGCATCGAACGGGCCACTTGCGCCATACGGTGCTACTAAGTGCGACTTAAGCTATTTTTACCGATAAAATATCGCATGTCATACATACGCTATCGTGCCGCACTGACTGCACAGACATCTCACGCTCCTTTCTTTCCTCTTGTTCTCTGAGAGCCGTACTGGAGACATGGCAGACCCAAAGGTTTGGTTTAGTGGGTGAAAGCGAATTCATTGGACTCCCCATGAATACTGATATCTCACATCTAGTTACTGGTGTATCGTCAGGGTTCGGGAGATCAATGACTGAACTATTGCTCAACAAGGGCGATAAAGTCATAGCGACTCTTCGCCGTCCTGATGCTCTATCTGATTTATCAGCACAATTCCCATCCTCCCAGCTCTTAGTCCTTCAGCTTGACGTGACGAACAGCGCGGAAGTATCAGCCGCGTTTGCAAGAGCAAAAGAAGCTTTTGGAAGGATCGATGTTGTGTTTAATAATGCAGGTCAATGTGTAACAGGAGAGTTAGAGTCCTTGAGCGAGGAAGAGGCCCGTCAGATGTTCGAAGTAAATTTCTGGGGTGCTATGCATGTGAGCAAGGAGGCGGTGAAGTTCTTCCGAGAAATGAACAAGCCAATTGGTGGGAGACTGTTGCAGGTCTCGTCAAGGTTGGGATTGGTAGGCGGCCCTGCGAATGCCTTCTACAGCGCATCGTGAGTGTTCTAAATCATGTGGCATGGTGTATTTAAATCATAGCATTGCGACAGAAAATTTGGCAGGTGTAATCTTTTTTTTTGGAGTGGAGATGCTTACCAAATTTTCTAGCACTAGAAGGTCTGAGCGAGTCCTTGGCATCAGAACTGGATCCTGCGTGGAACATAAAGGTAATTCTAGGATGCTTGCCATTTAAAGACTTACCAAATTTTCGTTTCCCCAAGGTCACAATAATCGAGCCAGGTCCATTTCGTACCAAGATATTCAAAGAGAACCGACGCGTAGCTTCCCAGCACCCTGCGTACGCCAATCCTGACTTGCCCAGTTCCCAGGCTCGGCAATTCATGGCGTCGGATAAGATCGATGGAGATGCAGACAAGGCAGTGGTGGCCATTGAGAAGCTAACCCACCTCGATGATGTTCCTATGCGCCTGCCACTGCACAGAAGAGTCGTTGCTTCAACAAGGGATAAAATCAAGAGCCTGACTGAGGATGTGAATAACTTTGAAAGTTGGTCCGAAGATCTTTACCTTTAACATACATGTAGTGTAGCCAGCAGTTTTGGTACTCGTTCGAATGTATTTTGTACACATTCATGCAATAATCGCTCGATTTTCTTTTATGTAGGGACTGCTGCCTCTGTCAGAGAATGAGCACTTTAAGTTATTCCTGTACCCTCTTATAGAGTACAGGTATGGGGAAATTTTTCTGTCATCCCGATGATACTGGTTCATGCCAGCCCCGTCAGCCACAACCTCATTTTGGACCGTCATGTTTGTCAGCATGAGTTGAGTTGAATCCTGATCGCCTCCGAGTCCCTTTTTGTTGTTCAGAATTTATTGTCTTCGTCGTTATGGCTTCATCGTCAGTGGCTAATTATGCTGCATGTCGTCTACCTTCTGCGTCGCTGGTGATTTCAGATCGAGAGCTTGCAGACGACGGGGCGTCTGTTGTGTCATTGTGTGTGTGTTGCGCAAGCATTTTGCGTTTTTTAAGGTCTCTCATGAGCGTTTGCTTATGTGTAACCAATACCCGACTGGTGTGTTGTTGCCTGTCGTAGCGCCTAATCTGAGGTTGATTGTGGACAGTTTCTCGACCCTTAATAGAGAACAATATTCTGAGATTGCCCGTGCACACTCCATTTATATTTCTTCAGTTGATCGTAAGGATCATGTCCGTGATTTGCTTCGTGTGCTCACTTGGGTAGAACACAGCGTTGGCTATTTTCTTTTCGGTGTTTGTCGAACCAAGTCACTGCACGCGATGCAAAGTTAAGTTGAAGGAAGTCCTGACCTCCATCATAGAAATTCAAAATGATTGCTCACGCGTTCTCGGCGATCCCTCCCCTCCCCATGTCCCTATTCTCACTTTGATCGTATGTGAAACTTTGAAGACTCCATGCACTCAGCATCTCGACGTTACCACTAGGACTCAACCATCTACCCCTTCTCAATTCATTGTCGATCCGTGCAGCCCGTCACGATATGTGCCATTGAACGAGCCTGCATCTTTCCTGAGCAGTGGGAGACTGCTTGTTGGTTCGCGCAGCCACATATACACATCGACTACGACGATCTGCCCCTGCTCACCGCCCAAAATTTGCACGTTGTACGACGAATCGTCGGCGATGTCATTTTATGTTCAATTTCCTCCCAGGGCCAAATCCATATTCCCTTTCCCATATATAATCCTCTCCATCATCTTCGATAAGACACCACCATGTACGTCCATTTTGTAGAGAACATTTGAAAGGAGAATCAATACTGAGACATCTCGATTTTCCGTTCCATCCTCGAAGGTGGCCCACGCACTTATCGGTACATGTCTCATCCGACTTCATTTGGTCCCACTACTCAAGCGCATCAACAAAGCGACTGATTCGTGACAACCCCCAGTACCTTCCACTTAGCTCACCCTCAATCAGTGTTGCTTGTCCATTATTTGCTTTATTGCTTCATTATTAAGGTGGTTTGAAAGACCGATCTATCAGACTCGAAGGTGGGCCGCTCAACACACGAACGTGTTATTCGTTTGCTGAAATTCTCTATCTCCTAGTCATCAGCGCAAAAAACCTCAAAGTCCCGACTCTTCTACTCGGCCAGAGTTGAATCGAAACAATAATAGCATCATCAGCCATCTAAGTTTAGATCTATAGTATGGGGTGATACTGCGAACTTTCTGTGTACGTCTACATCACTCAAGATTTCTCGTGGTTCGTGGTCCTGTTTGATGTATTTTAACAGATCAAATTTAATGACTGGAATTAGCAATTGAACTACCAACGACATCTCGATTCAGAAGAGAACGAGAACAGTGAGCACACAATCCATATTTCGCCATATTTCATTCCCATCGACACTTTCTTGAAATGACCCATTCGACTGGTTCCATGTTTTGAACTTGGACAGTTTGGTTCAGACACCAGAGAATAAAATTTACTTACACGTTGGTAAGGATTCCCAGGGCCCACTTCCGCAACCCCGACTGGCATACTCATGCCTGGTGTATCTCCTAATCTCACGATTTGCAGAGCTACACTCACTGCCTCGAATGTCTCAGTCCGGAATACGGACAGCCATTCCTGCACGCGCACCAACCGCAAGACGTGCCGGAAAGCCTGATAGCAGCAACAGCCCATCAATGAATGCGTCCATGTCAGAGAAAAATTACAACTTTGTTATAACGTTAACGGGAGGTGGCTTGAGGATGAGTCACGGAGACACTGGGAGATTGTCTAACCCTTCACAAGTACGAGTAGTCGGTATTAAACTATGAGTGCCTCACCATAGGAAATGGATATATTGAATACTGCCACACACAAAGTGCACGTCTCATTGGCAGATTAGCACTAATGTCGAAGTGGATGTAGTGCACAGAAGGGCCATATGGCAAAGCAGCCATCCGCACTACTGACTTCGACGGATGAGCATATTGAGTTGGATGAGCCCTGAGTCATGCTTCTAACTTGGCCTTGATTACATTGGCGGTGGTTAGTTGGGGTTCCATGGTGTAGAGGGAAGGACTTGAACGCTTGAAGCTTGAAGGATGGATGGTATGACTAGAAGGCGCGAGTCGGCTTGGCTGGCCTGGCTCATGCTAGTATCTAAGTACTCAAGCAGAAGACGAGGTTGAAAACGAATCGAGTGCACAAGAACTTCAGTGAACAATCTAGTCGACAAAAACACGAGAGTATACAAAAACAAGATACTAAGCTGGAGTGCAAGAATATATCAAGGTCATTTTTACAACAGGATGAAAGATCGCAAATCAACAACACCAGATGACAGCAATACGACGTAGAACTAAAAACTACACACCAATATGAATGAAAACCATCCTCTGCTCGAGCGGTACCTTCGTCTTTACAGCGTGTGTAGCACAGTTGAGTGCCCAGGCCGCCTTCGTACAGTCCATGACACCACCCTCCTCCAAATTAAACATATATCTGTAGAAAGCTCCTATACTCTATCGCTGCCCGATCAGCAGCAGCTCTGTCCGTGCTGGCCGCAGCACGCTGAGCATCAGACAGGTGTTTGCTAAGTTGTAAGAACTTCCGAGCTAGTTCGGGAACGATAGACTCGAGATCTTCGAGTGGCGTCCTGAGTCGCGATGCCAGCGACCACTGCTGGCCACGACCCTGCTCCATCAGCTCGACTGCCCGTCGTAGGTTGTCACGACGTATAGCACATGAGGCTGCATCTACAGGAAGTGATTGTGCACCACGAAAAGCGGTTGCAGCCTCCCACCGTGAGATGATCGACGATCGCGTCATCACGTGGCTGTCGAAAAGCTCAAAGCACATTTGGTATGCTTCGAGGGCAGATGCATGTTGATAGACTTCTGCATGAAAAGCCCAGTGGATAGCCTCCTTGATGCATTGTAGAGACCCTGTCCTCTACAGCCATATAATAGGCATATTTTCGCATTTTGGCCTCTGTGCTGATGCCCCCAATAAGTGTGATACATGTGCAGTATTTGCAATGACATGCGCTTTGGCACGCTTCAGACACACTATGAACGTGCTTTTGCACACTTTCACATCCTCGTCGCCAACCATCTGCATGTCCTGTCCTTGTCCTCCAAGGTCCATTGGTGCATGTTCTATCTATTTTTAGTTCAAACACATATCACAGTGCTACATATGGTATGCAATTACTCATTGCCTCACTATTTTTACTTAAGTTACATCACTTACAATATTTACTGCTACCTATTCGCTTCTGAAGCCTGGGAATGTGCTTATGAGGCATTACATGCCTCTGGGTAAATTTTAGTTACTTACTTCCCTACTACTAGTATCCAGAGAGCAGCAGCAGATAGTTGAATGGACTACCATCTTTGTCGATTTTCACACTTGAGCTCAGAAAGGGATCATCTCATCTCCATCATCTCCCACCAATCCAAGAAAAAGATCAGTATTGCTTGCCTTGAGGTCTAGAGCCTAGCCATGAAGCATGCATTTCACACATTGAGTGCACATTTTCGTGTACCTATTGCATCCAGCACACTTTGGCGCCTATCATTGCATTCCATACTCTCATGCTCCACCAGGCCCTCTGTCAAGAGCTAGTTCTTGGCATTTCCCCTCAATTCTTTAGAGGAATCCTTTCTCAGTGGCAATCCCCTTGGGTCAAGTTTGACTCACATCCAGAGGAGCTCTGAAGAGTCCTTATCTTTAGTTTCCCCCCCCATCCAAATTCCTTGCCTTCAGCATTCTGGAAATCCTTGAGTAGGATGTCTTGATGTGGGTCTGAAGTTCTCTATAGTGAGTGACAAATCAGCAGGGTCACAAAGAATCTGGTAACAAGACAAGTAGGCCTCCTGCAGCTGCATGTGGCTGAAATATCTGTCCAGGTGCAGTGAAGACAGAGCCACCAAATGTTATGGTGAACTAGGATGGGCGCAACGACAGATACTCGATAAGAGTAGTGTCTGATGTTGGATCAAACCTTACAAATGTAAGGGTCTTAAGACAAGTCAGAGAGAGTGTCCCTGGCTTGAATATCAGTATCAGACAACTTAGGATTGGGGGTCCTAAGCGAAGGATGTTTCAGGTGAGAACCTAGTAGATTAAAGTGAAGATCTGCTAAGTACATGACTGAGCTTATATAGGCGTAGCTAGCTTTAGGGCCGGTACATATACGTCATCGAGACGAGTCAGAGATAAAGGAAAAGTCACCTAGCGACAGCAGGGGTGATCGTGATGTAATACAATGGAAAAGCAGGCTTGGTCTAGTGATGGTGACGTAATACACGGGAGATAAGAGAAAATGGATAGGGGTGGGTGTGACTGTAACATTACCCCTCGTTTACGAATGAAGTCACTGACTTCAGTCATCCTGGTTAGCCCAGTAAATAGGGTCGTCACTGTAGTCCAAGTCGAGCAACTCATTCTGCTCTTCAGTGATGGGAGTAGGGAGCGACCTAGCTAGGTCAGCGGCATGGTAGATAGCGTCCTGCTCAATTTCCCAACGAGCAAGAGCATCATAGAAACCGATGTCAGTCCATACCAAGGGAATGACCGCTTCTCCTTTCAACTTCTTACAGAAAACCGATAGGTGGCTGGGTGCATACTCCTGGCAGACCTGGCAATAGTACACAGGGCAGTTCTTGTGGCGGTGCCCGGTGACGTGGCAGTTATGACATACAACATTGTTGACTGGTGGCATTTTTACGATCGTGATGGAGGAGGACTGGTTTGGAGGAGAGGGTGATCTGGATTGTTTAAGAGTTGGCTTGGATGGGGAGGCAGACACTGCTCGTTTAGCAGCGAGGCGAGAAGATCTTCATTTAAGTGGGCTTCTTCGCATAGTGCATGTGATGGAGGCAGGAGACGGAGAAGTTGGTATGTCGAGTACAGCAATAGGAGGGATATTGTCATCCTGATGCTCAGCAGTAGTTGTTGCAGGAGCTGGCGGTGGGACAGGAATAGCGGTGTGGGGGGATGGTGGGCGTGCAATTGGGTCGAGGGCAATGCATTTGGTGACGATGTGGATAGCTTCTCTGATGGCTTCTCTGGTATCATCAGGCAGGAGATGGATCGCAGTGTTGCGAATGTGTATATGAAGGTGGCGGAAAATTGTTTTGTGCCGCTCATCATCCAAGAGATTGGCGGTTCGGTCAATGAGACTGGCGTCTCTGATGATCCTAATAATAAGACCACTGGATATTGCCCCTCGTTCTCCCAGGAGGCGATCTATTTCTATAGCGTACTGTTGGGAGGTAATAGTGGACTCAAATAGTGTGCTCGTTTCTACTTGGTCAATGACTGAGAAGTAATCCGTAAGGGTGGAGTCGTCGGTGAGGGTGAGGGTAGAGTCAGAGGTTGGTGGTGATTCTAGTGGTGGTGATGCGTGACGGGCGAGGTTAGCAGTGGTGGTGTTCTGGTAGTCCAAGAGGGTCAATGGGTGGGCGTTTCCTTCAGCAACAGTGTTCATAGCAGCAGTAAGTTCTTCGATACGTAATATGCAAAGACGTAGTTGTTTGAGATGGGACATTGTCGAAAGTCTACAACCAATGGGTCTTTTTATAGGTGGCAAGGATATCGGGAGCATTGCTAAGGTTTTCTTCTGGAACCCATTCGTTGCTGGCAGAGGAGTATCCTTTCCAGGATACAAGATAGCGTCTTCATTTACCTGTTCCTTTGTGTGATAGGATCACATCAATTTCATATTCTTCTTCATTATCAATGATGTCAGGGGGTGGATCGTGGAAGTTCGGCCCGTGAACCTCTGTTTCGTGATAGGACAATAGTTCGGAAGTGTGGAACGTGGGGTGAACTTTCCACTGGGGAGGTAGTTGGAGTGTGAATGTGATGGGGGAGAGGACAGCGATGATCGGAAAGGGACCATATTGTTTGGGCACAAGCTTTCGCAATGGTAATTGCGTGATTAGGTTCTTTCCAGATAACCAAACCTTATCTCCAATCTTCCATGGGTGATACTTGTGCCCATGAGATCGTTCCACCATTCGTTGCATGGCAATGTTATGGCACAAAATTGCCTCCTCTCTAGACTTCTGGAGAGAGCGGAGTCTGTCTTCTGCCGCAGGAACTGTAGAATCAGGGAGTGTGTGGGGGAGGGCTTGTGGTTCATATCCCATCATTAGGAAGAATGGGGATGCGTTGCGAGAGTCATGTTTTCAATGATTATGTACGAATTCTGCCATAGGGAGGTGTTCCACCCAATCTTCAGGGTGATTCTGACAATAGATTCAGAGGTACATTTCGAGTTCTTGGTTTAATCGTTCGGTCTGGCCATTGGTCTGTGGATGATAGGTGGTAGATGCGGCTATTTCATATTTCAAGAGCTTGGCGAGAGCTCGAGAGAATTTAGATACAAATTGCGGTCCGCGATCAGAAATGACTTTCTCATGCAAACCAAGTCGGCGGTAAACATATTTGAAGAATTTCTTGGCAACCCCTTTGGAAGTGATGGTTTTAGTACATGGGATGAGAATTACCCCCTTCATAAGCCCATGGTCTACCACGACCATGACAGAGTCAAAACCGGTGCAGGGGGGGAGGTCGGTGATGAGATCAACGGAGACCTGAGCGAATGGAGCTGCAGCGACAGACGGGATAGGGACAAGGGGGGGGGTCGTCGGGCGAGTATTGGATTTCATTTGCTGGCAGAGGGCGCAACCCTCTATGTATTTACGGACATAGGTGCCCATGGAGGGCCACCAGAAGTCCTGTTTGACTAATTCTTCAGTTTTAAAACGTCTGGGATGACCGGCAGTGGGGTGATCATGACATCGTTCCAGAATAAGGCGCCATCCAGCAGGGCAGATGTAAGCGCGGTCTTTATAGTAGAGGATGTTGTCCTTAATCATCCAATCAGTGAGGGCGGATTTCATAGGGGGAAGGGAGAGGCCATCCAACACGTCTGAAGCAGCGGTGAAGATGGGGTTGGGGTCAGAGGGATCGGGATTGGCAAGGGTGGTCATGAGTTCAATGTCAAGGAGTCGGATGAACATGGAATCGGGGAGAAGCATTTCATTTGCATTATCTTCCGAGGAGTCCAATCCGTGATCAGGGCGGCGGGAGAGAGCGTCGGGCACGACAAGTTTTGTTCTGGTGACGTGGTGGAGTTCTATGTCATAACACGACAAAATCAGTTGCCAACGGGCTTGTCAACGGGTTAACTTCTGAGCTGTCCTGAAATATAATAGATTCTTATGATCTGTGAAGACGACAACGGGATGGGGATTTCCTTCCAGGTAATGACGCCATTCTGTAAGGGCGTGGATAACTGCAAGAAGCTCGCGATCAAAAATTTGGTAGTTCCGTTCCGTGGGATTCAGAGTCTGTGATAGGTATCCGCATGGGTGATAAACACCATTGTCATCGGTTTGGAGTAATATGGCACCCGTAGTGACGAGGGATGCGTCAGTTGCTACAGTGAACTGTCTTGCAGGATCGGGGTTTCGGAGGACTGGTTGCTTCAAAAAGCATTCCTTCAGAGTGGAAAAGGCCGTCATGCATTGTTCTGACCAAAGGAATTTGACGTCTTTTTTGGTGAGGTCGATTAAGGGCCTTGTGATGTCCGAGTAATGGGAGATGAAATTACGATAGAAATTGCAGAACCCCAAAAATGATTGGACTTCTTTCACGGTTGTGGGGATGGGCCAATCCCAAATACCATTGGTTTTGGCATCGTCCATTGCTACGCATCCGGGACGGATTATCATTCCGAGGTATTCCACCTCCTGAGCATCAAACATGCATTTTTCCGGTTTAAGGAAGAGCTTCTCTTGCCGAATTCTTTCTAGGATGTGTCGAGTACATTCATGATGGGAGTCGAGTTCTTTCGAAAAGATCAGAATATCGTCCATATAAATGACGAGCCATCCCTCATTGATTTCTTGTTGAAATGTCCTGTTCATATACGCTTGGAAAGTGGCGGGGGAGTTGCAGAGTCCAAAGAACATGACATTTGGTTCGAAAAGACCAAGTTCTGTGGTAAAGGCGGCTTTCCATCAATCTTCCGGGTGGATACGGATATTGTTATATCCCGAATGAACATCCATCTTGGTGAAATATTTGGCACCATGTAACCGAGCAACTAGGGAAAGCAGTAATGGGAGTGGGTAGGCATTCTTGACCGTCCATTCATTAATGTATTGATAGTCTTGACAGGGGCGGAGATCTCCACTTTTCTTTCCGACAAAGAAGAAACCGCTTGCCTGCGGTGACTTCAATTCAGAAATGAACCCCTTCTTCATGTTTTCATCAATGAAGGCTTTGACTGCTGTACGTTCCACTTCTGACAATGGGTACACCTTGGATGTTTTGGGGATGAAACCAGGTTTAGTTTCAATTCGATGGTTGATACCAGGTCATTCGGGTGGTAATTGATTCAGACCGTCCTTTGCAAAGATGTCAGCGAAATCATGAGGGTAAGAAGGGACGAGTTCCTCAAATGATTTCTTCTTCTGCTCAAGCCCGGTGGCTAGTGCAAACTGTTGTGCCTTGTTACTGGTTTTGATATATTCAGTTGGCCGTGACAGAGGTGTAACCATAGGTCGTAGTTCCGTGATACTGGTGCCGTCCTTGGTTAAAGGAGTGTCCAACAAGATGTTGGTGATTACCCGGAGCTCAGCGGCATCGACGGGATATTCGACCAGGAATTTGTCATCTTCTAGATGGTAGGTGGAGATCTTGCACACCGGTGGTGCATAGTCTGTTGTCCATACATCCTCTTTTGTGTTGAAAGAATCATCATCGTCATCGGGGATGGGGTCAAGGTTTGGGAGAGTCGGAGGCGCTTCCTCATCTTCTATTTCTTCTATAGTTGCACGTGGCATCGCTTTCTCAGATAGCGTTTGTGGGACCGATTTCATGGGAGGTGCCTTTGGCAGCACTACAACCGGTATCGGGTCTATTTCTTGGGTCGTTTTATGAAAGAGAGGAGGAAGTCCATTCTTCTTTTGTTCATCATCAACTTCTTCTTCAATCTGATCACTTTTCTCTGTTCTGGGGAGTTCCAGGGTTCCCGCTTTCCATCGGATCAGCGGGTCCATGGCGCACAGCCAAGGGATCCCTAACAAGATCTGGTCACGTCAGCCAAGCTGCATGATATTGAACTTTCCAATCATGGATCGTTCATCTATTTTGACAATGAGGACGCAATATCGGGTAATAGTGCCTCCTTTCGCATAGCTCCCATCCGCAGTGGTAACACAGAATGGTTTCGATAGCTTGTGGGTGTGAATTCCATGAATTTTGACAAATTCTTCAGAGATGAAGGTTCCAGTGGTGCTGGAGTCAACAATGGCTGTTGTTTTGACAGTTTTCAGACGGGTTTTGGAGATAAGAGAAATGGGAACGCAAAGTTCTTTTCTGATTCCAATACTTTGTACAAGTCTGATAGGTACATCAGAAGATACTGATGTCGATCCAGTCTTCCACATTACAAATCCTCAGTGAGACGGCGGATCATTGTATCTTCCCCTTCTTCTTGGTCGCTGTCGCTTATGTCTTCTCGGCGGACAGGGACTTTCTTCTTCTGCGGGCACGCCTTGGTCATATGCCCTTTCTGGTGACACATGAAGCATAATCCTTTCTTCATATGGTCACTTCTTTCAGCTTCTGTGAGCCGATCTATCTCCATGGCATTTGGATCATGCCTATCAATGGTTGGTCTGGGTACATAGCGTTGCCCAGTTGGTCTGGTAGTGCGCTGATTCTGTCGAAATGCAACTCCTCTCTGATAGTTGCTATCAAGCCTGGTAGCTGCGGCAATATACTTGTCGAAATCGGTAGGGATAGTTTCCATTTGAAAGATGGAATTGACGATTCCTTTCTTTAATCCATCGTTGAAGAAGGATATCAAGATGGCGTCCTGTTTTACAGAGGCCTGCATGGCAAGGGTCTTAAAACTGGAGATGTAGGAGATGAGGTCGCCCATTTGTTTCAGAGTTCAAAGTTTATTCATAGCGGTGGCAATGGCGTCGGCTGGTATGAAAGCTTCCTTGAACTTTGTTTCAAAGTTTGCGAAAGTTCTGTAGGACTTGGAGGAGGAGTCATCGACTTTGGTGTAGAAGGTAAGTGCCCAACCCATAGCACTATCTTCGGTCATGTACACGAGGGCGGTGATGACCTTCTTTTCATTGGTGTTATAGATTGTAGCGTTAAGTGCAAAATACGCCTTAATCGCATACAACCATCATAGAGCCTGCTGAGGGCTTCCGTTATAAGTGGAAGGAGCTCCGGCTTTCAATTCTGGGGTGACGGTGGACATCCTGAGTGTTTGGTCAAGTGATGTTTCTGTTTCAGGGGAACGTCTTTCAGTTCTCTCTCTGAGTTCTTTCTGGGGCTAGTAACCTCTCGGATAGAGAGGGTCGATGAGGGACTTTAATCTTTTGTTACGGCGAACTAGGATGGGCGCAATGACAGATACTCGATAAGAGTAGCGTCTGACATTGGATCAAACCTTACAAATGTAAGGGTCTTAAGACAAGTCAGAGAGTGTGTCCCTGGCTTGAATATCAGTATCAGACAACTTAGGATTGGGGGTCCTAAGCGAAGGATGTTTCAGGTGAGAACCTAGTAGATTAAAGTGAAGATCTGCTAAGTACATGACTGAGCTTATATAGGCGTAGCTAGCTTTAGGGCCAGTACATATACATCATCAAGACAAGTCAGAGATAAGGAACATACATCATCGAGACGAGTCAGAGATAAAGGAAAAGTCACCTAGCGACGGCAGGGGCAATCGTGATGTAATACAATGGAAAAGCAGGCTTGGTCTAGTGATGGTGACGTAAGGCACAGTCATGATGTAATACACAGGAGATAAGAGAAAATGGATAGGGGTGGGCATGACTGTAACACCAAAGATTCTTAGCAAAGAGTAATGGCCTCTTCAACATCTTCATTCTCCTGAGTGTGCATGAAACAAGAGCAGAGCGCCGAGCTCAAATTGAGAAGAATCGCCATGCTCCCTGGATTGCCAAGCCGCCTTAACCGAAGGCATTCGCGATACCGATCAATAGCCTCGTCGAGATCCTTGCTGACATGCAATTTGTTATATCTGGTGCTGAGCGCGAGGGCAAGGTTGTTAAGCGTGGTGTTATGAGTTGGATGCCCAGGTGGGCGCAACGTCAGTGCCTCGTGATAGAGGCTGACAGCTCGAGTGATGTCATCAATGCTACCGCGTTAGTTGAAACGGGTGACAAGGGTGCCCCCTAGGTTGTCCAATGAAAAATTACGAGTTCTGTGCCCAACAGGGCGCAGGCGCAGCGCTTCTTCGTACAAAAAGATGGCCTCATCGAGGTCATTAGGTTTGCCTTGGTGATCAAAGCGAGAATCGAGTGAGAAGGCCAAGTTGTTCAGGTAGTAATCACGGTCAGAATGCCCCTCGGGGCACAGAGACAAGGCTTCACGACCGAATTGTATGCTCATGTCAAGATCATCGATGTTGCCGTACTGGTCAAAGCGTGCTTCAACTGCTTGTGCAAGCTCATCGAAGACTCTGGGGCGGAGTTGATGACCTGGAGGACACAGCTCGAGGATAACTCTTCGAAGGTGGATGCCTTCATCAGATGCATCTTTTGGAAGTTGGTCACATCTGTTGATCACATAATCGACACCATTTTGCCCTGCCACGATGCTACGAAGATAGGTCCCCTCTGGACAGAGAGGTAGTAGCTCATGATACAGTTGGGCGGATTCGCGGATGTCGGCAGCAGTACGTTTCTTCTTGCGGCGCCAAGTCAGAGCTTTGGTGAGATTATATAGAGATATGGGATGATCAAGATGGCACTGCGGACGCAATGCAAGGGCATCGCGGAAGAGGGAGGTGGTGGTATCAATGTCTTCAAGATCATTTTGAATATAGCCTACAAGGCGGGCCCACGCGAGGTTGGTGAGAGCTGCTGCGCGATCCGGATGGCTAACAGGACACTGGTCCAGAACTAACTGAAAATGCTCTACAGCATCGTTCAGGTGAGAGACCGCCTTTCCCGTCACATATTTGGCAAATTGCGCGTGGCCCGCATCTGTGTCTCGAGTAACTTCGCAGTTTACAACGGGCTGCAGTCGGAGTTCTGTCAGCCACAGCTAACGGGACAGAGTCCAGCATTACTCATATCGGACAGTGCGCCGTTTTGATTGTCGTAAGCATGTACAACGGTGGCCTTTAGCGTAAGGGAAGGGTGGATGCCGTGCACGGATGGGAAGGATATATCTACGAGACGTTAGTATATGCGCATGAACGATGAACGAGTCACTCACCGAATGGCTCATCTCCATGATCGAGTAGCTCATCCCACGATGTTTGAAGTTCCCGATGACCTCTCCACTGCCTAGCATTCGATCGGCCTCATAAGACGCCCTAATTTCTATTGATAACGCAGGTGATACATGGGATGACCTATAAACCGATGATAAGTTCTCGCGTTGCGCCTGGAAGTTACTAAAGACTTTACAGAGTCACAATATCCCCCCACACTACAGATCTGTCGGATGATAGAACTTTGATGGCCGATTTCCAGCATCTTCTCGAGTCGACGTTGATAGACACATAAATGCCAGAGGAAATGCGCTCAGAAGGGACTCGAAGATCATTTCCGTTGATGACTGTAGATAGAATGTGAGGATCAAGAAACAGATACGAAGGTAATATTGAGGAACTCACTTTCAAATCTAATATATCGGGTTTCTGAGTTACCAGGCATGATGGTGTGATGGAACAAAATGATGAGGATTGAGGATTGGCTGAGTGGTAGGCTAAGTGGCGGACAGAATGTACGGGAGGGGAGGACGGGTGAGGATATGGGGACTGTGGATGGAGTTTGGCTGAGAGGGAGAGTTGAGGGTTCAGATCATGCTACACGTGTATTACTCATAAGTATTAGTCTCAAATGTCCAAGGTTTGAGTTGGTTGCAAAGTGCCGGCAAGTCTGTCAGGCCCGCCGCATGATGTCAACGCATCAACGTTTCGAATTTCAACATCCATCCCGCCTAGGCCTGCCTGTAGCTGGTGCATCAAGATCTTTACCTCGATCCCTGCGAGTTTCTTAAAACTAACCCGCCCGCCAACACCACTGTGATTCTCCACGGCTGCTACGTCCTCCCTCCAGGTGACTAGAATCGCGACGGCAAGCTGACAAGGACATCAGGAATCATGGGATCGGCGTGACAGTGGTTGATATAGATGGCGGGATGTGCGACGGTGGCTGATGTAGATGGCAGGCCCGTAGTGGCGATGATAAACAGACCTTTGACCGCCTGGAGTTTTCCGACCAAGCATCCCCAGACATATCATCTCATCCCTCAGACATTTCCAAGACATGTCCGACAGACTTCATACAGATTGGCCATTTCCTACATGTCCTTCGTGTGTCCGGATGCTTTGGTGTTCCTTGAATCTCTAGTGTCGAGACCATGTTTAGCATGGTCAGACCTTTAAATGAGGGTGACTGCAAACATGTGAAAGGTGAATCGAAATTTACTTCTTCCAGGCGGAGTCGCTAATATGGAGGAATGACTATCTTCCTTCGATGGGTCTGACTCTGAGAGACTATACGCGAAGTTCAGATTCCGTACAGCTGCCAGGATATCGGAACGTGTTTTGATACTAATTTCACTTTCGAGCTACTCTTTTGCAGGGGGGGATGAAAATGCTCCGGGAACTACAGTCCAGTGTGAAGTCCTCGGCTAGCTCTGCACCAGTGCCTTTGAATAATGCTGTCCGACTTGGAGTCGGGGGTCATAAGCATGGAGCATGTCCAACTGGATTATCGATCATCGTGTCTGTTGGCATTCAAGACGATCGGCCATTTAACATGGCACTCGCATATACGGGATACTCGATAGGTTTGATTTGACGCTCGTGACGTTTGAAAGCAGTACAGTCAAACACTTCATTCCACGCCGAAGTTCCTGCGCGATGTATATCCGACATATTGGTTCCATTGGTCCGAAGATGGTAACCATTCTTGTGCAAACTTGTGAAAGTAACCATATTCTCAATGCACGAGTGCATGCGAGTCCGTCGAAACTTGTATGACTTGGAAGCGGAGTTATGTAAATACATCTTTAAAGACGGAAAGCCCATTATTTTGTGGTTTTGTATCTAAAGCGTGACATTCACTCCCTTCGCAATAGCTTCACCCAGGGTCGCATTCACATGGTAGAAGATCTGGCACTGCTTGGTGCGGATGGCCATGTCGCTGGCCTGACCAAGATGCCAGACGACATTGTAAATCAGGTTGTTTTGATCACGTTCAGATAGACCATTCCACTGTCATGTTTTCAATCAGCGATTCAAAGGCGAATTGCGCATAGTGCTATTCGCTACGTACGAAAATCCTGGGAAGATCGAAATCTGCCTCAGTGGGTGTGCTGAGGTACTTGACGGCACCGCCAGTCCAAATGGTGTGATTGTCGTCATTATAGGGCCGAGGAGCAAGCGAAAGAAAATCTTGCTGCGACCAAAAGTTCGGGCGATTTCCCTGGTTGTTGAAGCTCATGGCACCATCACGCAAGAAGTTCGCTGGATAAAGTCACTTTAGCATCACACAGCGCAATGGAGCAAAGTTGCGAACCGACGGGATTGAGAGGACAGTTGATCTGTCATTCACAGCTTTAGGCACTACCGGACCGAGTCACACGAGTTACTTACTGGGAGCTGTTTGCTGTTAATTCCAGTGCGGTATCGCTGGGCATCTGGATGAATGAAGTTAAGTAGAAAGTCTCAAAATTATGTTAGAAAGCAAGAACTTACCAGCGTAAGCGAACAATCGTGCTTGCAGCGTGGGATCCTCGCTAGGCTCGAGACCATAAGGCTAGGTGAAAATTAGCCTTGTTAGTTCGCGGACATTGAGAAAAACAAACCATGTTGGCGGGGTCAAAACCGATTTGCTCGACCTCTGTGAAATGATTAGTCCTAATGAAAGGGTTAGTTGTATTGCATGAACACCGAAGGCCACAAATCCGTACGGGTTCTGAACAAGGGTGATCCGACCAATTTCCTGCAGAGGCACATCTTCTACGAGCCACTCTAGAGATAGAAATGTGAGCGTCAAGAATATAGTTTGAGGACAGTAAAACGTGCCTTTGGTCAGGTCTAGGATGTTGTCTGAGAGAAAGTGTTAGTGTCAGCCTGAAGAAACCAGATAAGACCAGGCATCAGACATTTATAATTCTCGGCTTGCTGAGGTGTCATAGTTTGCCAGTAGATTGTCCAGCTGGGGTAATTTCCAGCTGCAATGGCGTCATAAAGATCTTGGACGCCAAAGTCGGGGTTCACGCCAGCTTGCACGATGGCCTCACTATTAGTATTGTTCCTGATGCCTTGATCCGATATTGCGGTAGTTCTGGATCGCGTCAACGGTAAAGAAACCATGCACGTCAACGACCACCTACTTGATATAAACCCACGTGTCATTTTCCTTCACGGCGCGGAATGTGTTGCCACTGAAGCCATTCATATGCCTAGGAATTGGTGAGCAAAGGGGAGGCATACTTCATAAGATGCATACCTGAAACCATAAGGGGTCCCGAGGTCAGACATGGTACGCATGACCTGTTACATCTTGATATCAGCAAAGATAATTACTTGATTGGAAAAGTTTTGCGGGAAGGTACCTGGTAAATTGATTCATTATTCGCGGAAAGGTAATCTAAAAAAAATGTAAAGCCTGCACATCGGAGTGGCTGATCTGTCGCTCACCCCAAAAGTTCTGATGAGGTGTACAGTGTGAGTGCGAGTGAAGTGCTAATGATATCATAAGGAAAACGTACATTGTGATCCAAAAGATTTGTCTGAGGATTACGTTTCTGAGAATGAATGAAGTCTGTGTACACATTCAATATGACAAGCCATGGAGGGATTTGTCACACTAACGAGGGAATTTCGCTGGATCGCGAAGCCAGAAAACAGGGTGGTTTAAGAAGGGCTTTGTGGCATATTAGCTTTAGGAAGCACCTATACATGATGAACGCTCACCCAGTCCAAGATTCCGTCTTCTGTGCGCAACCTAAGTTTAAAAACAACACAATGAGCACGTAGCGGCAATACTAAAATAGGTCACGTACTTAAAGGCGAGCCCTCGCAGGTCTCGAACAGAATCCGCATTGCCCAAATTACCGGCAATTGTAGAAAATCGGGCAGTAACCGGGGTACGCTTGCCAACCTCCGAGAAGACTTTCGCCATCGAGTAGTTCGCAGCCACAGGTGTGGTTACTTCAAACCAACCATGGGCACCTGCGCCTTTTGCATGGACGGTGCGCTCAGGCTTTGCAAGGAGCTCATTAGCAGTGGCATTGCGGAGAATCCTGCGCATCTTACCACTCTCTCACGGACAAAATGAGCCAGTGATTCAATCTGATATATATATTAGGAAGGATCGGATATTCCAAAGAGATTTCTTGCCAGGTTGGTGGACGAAATTAGAATAGGCCCAGTCGTTCCTAGTCTGTCGGACATGTACGGGTTGGGATATCTGCACATAACATGCTTGTTATCTGTGAAGTACGGTTGGGGAGTAGCTAACTTACGCCTCTCCCCCAGACAGGGTGTAGTCGAGTTGAGTAGAAGGATCATTGATAATAGAATCTTGCTCATTCGGACCTTGATAGATATCGAAGTAGGGCTGGCTTGCGTCACGCTTGGCTTGCTCAGCGTGTGCAACGGCGGACGCAGCTCCTGAGAATAGAAGTGCAGCGAAGCCAGAGAAGTACATCCTAGAGGAGGCTGGGTCGCGAGAATTATAGCTCTCCACATTACTTATACGCAAAACATTCCACCTTGGCGAGGACGCCGGTGACCTGCAGGCTCAGTATATCATGTTAAGCGACAAGAAAAGTTGTATATTTGAGCGACAGCCCTGAGATGGTGAGAAACTGTCCTTGACATGAGTTAGAAAATCGAACTTAGGCAACCAAGAAATGTGCTTTGTCTTCTCTTCACAGCTGTGATGAAGACACATGGGTCTGAATCCGTGGTGACCATTCATCATGTTTAAGATGCCGACGACTTTTGACAGTGAGAGTGTTACTTCCGGGGAAAGTCACAGACTTTAAGCGCTGTATGGCGGCCACACCCTTGGGAATGAGGCTTATAAAACTGTAATGTTTATTCATACAAGTCGGAGGGTTGTTAAGATGTATGCATGCTTTCCTGTCGTGGCACACGGTGGGGATAATGGGGATGATGACTAAGCGCATGTCCCGGGACACGGCTGTGCGATGACCCCGGATACAGTGTGCGGGGCCATAATATTACACCCACACGATTTTCAGTTATCCACGTTATCCACCTATGAATTTTGGCCTTGGGTTATCCACCAAGTTATCTACGTGGATAACTGGGTGGATATCTACATCGGTGGATAACCAGGTGGATTTCCACGGAACACTAGGCCATCATACTGGGAAATTAATGCCTCGGGTGAGCAGAAATTTGACTTCAACTGCCATAAAATGCTGCATGTCCCGCGAAGACCAAACATCGAGTCTGGCTCTGGGACACGCAGGTTTTGCCGTGGTGCCAGCACCGCCGGATGTGACAAGTACGAAATGTCGTGATTTTGTAGTCCGTCATCTAGTTATTACCTCTGCAGTAGCTCAGAAACACGAATTTTGCGGCTGAAAAAACAACTACTGCACGGTACAGTATACCACGCGTTCCAACAATGTACCCAGAATTTTCCGCCACGGAAACGGTGCAGAAAACACGCCTTTATGCTTCGAACGCGCCCCTCGATCGCCCGCGTCTTCAACAGTCACGTGAATTGGGCCGGGCCGTTACCTCTACAGTTCGGTTGCTTTCAAATCGCAACTTTCATACTATACACCTGCTGGATGTACTCACACAGTCTAGATTCGGATCAGCGCCGGTATGCACGACAACGGGATTGTGCATATTTTGTGTCCACGGAACGAACGGACCGCCAGTACTAGTGTCTCCGAGAATCAAGACTTCATGAAGTTCATAGTACATAGACGATAATATAAACAAGTACCAGTGCTATCACAATCTCGATGAATGTTGAAATTAAACTATGGACTGACGCGGGTTTGACTCCAGTCTCGGTCACGCAAGTCGAACTTTCACCTGAGCAAGCTCTCAGATCGCCCTCTGATTGATCACTTATCCAATTCTATCCTATATTCCTTGAGTGTCAGTTGCACTTAGGGAGCTGCATGCAACATACCATTCCTGTAGTATCTCCCCGCCTATTGGCGTTTTGAGAGGACTGTTTAATCGGCTAAATGATACCCTCTCTCTGGTGGAAGACCCGACTTACCGAACCTGGCCCCGACCTGTCCGTGGTTCTGCTTGCATCGGGCTGCGGAGTGTCAATGATAGGGGCTGCGTTTGATTGCCCCTGTACCTGAGCACCCTGGTAGTTAGTGGGCGCCTGAATGTCTGCGTCACGTCGTGATCCGGTAGTGGGATTTTGGTTGAGATCGAAGGCGTCTTTCACTATCTGTTCCAGTTCCTCGTCATCAACATCAGCATGGTTCAGGCTACGACGCTCATTTGCCGCTGCACTCTTCATTGCATGCTCGCGAGCCTGATGTATAGCGAGGACAGTGAGTAGCCCGACCTTCTCACCCTCCTCAATCGACATCTGACCCTCCCGCGTGCAAAGGTGCTTGTACTCAGGCAAAAGCAGCGATTTATCAATCTCGTACTTGTTATAAATGGCGATCTTTTCCACGGGGTCCATCTTGAGATTCTGGAGCTGTTCGACAGCTAGCTTCCTCATCTCAAGAAATTGCCACCTCGTGGAGAGCTCGAGTATGACAAGCCAATTGTCTGACAATTTCCTGTCTAGTCTGTACATCCTGTAACCCAAAGTCAAGGATGATGTCGGTGGGAGAACTAACTAAGAACTTACGGACTGTACCAGACCCAGAGGAGTGTCGCGAAGTCATCACTAGTTACGTCTTCGACCCGAAACGCGCTGTCATCAGATGTTCCATCCTGTGGAGCTTGTGCAAGTTTCCGGATGAAAACCTGAGATTCACGCTCGAAGAAGAACCTGTGGACACGAAACAATGTATTTTCAACCTGTGCACAAGTGGCGGTCAGCGCACGCAAGATACATTCAGGACATCATAGCGTACGAGAAAGGTAATGTTACCGCCTGGAAGATAAAACTCTGGATGATGCTGAACGCGCGAAACACCATTCAGAGAGTCGGTCTCCATGACAGTATAGGCTCAGACGATTGATGGTAAGCTGTAGCAAGGGGTTAGAATCTGGAAAGGCTGTCAGACATCACCTCAGTTATATGTCCTAGTCCGGCGCTTCAAGACTAAAATACTCCCTCTGATTGCTCAAGAATAACACGTTCAATCGCAGGCACAGTGGCGCAATCCTAGCATTTAGAAGCGTCAGCCGATCAGGTGAGGTAGGAAGCTGTGGGAAGCCACCGGAGATCGAAGTCTTCATTGAGCATGACTCAACGACGATACAGCCTCCTTTCCATATTCAGTGCGCACAACGTCTACAAAGAGAACCTTTAAATCAAAAGATAACGCACAGGCTGAACACGTGACCCTAGGATCTCCCAGGATGCATTGCAGTTGTAGGTCCAGCTTCCCGGAGTATCATTCAATAGTTCTGTGGGTGACGTGCACTGAACTAGAGCAACTGCCTTGAAAGGATGTGCTGATCGCTCGCAGTCCAATTGCCAGATGGATTCGAGTCAGCAATCTCGCGTTCCAAGACGTATATAGGTGATGTGCTTACCCGGCGCACCATTGTACAAGACTTTCTGATCCCATCATGACGTGTGCTGCTGCATGAAATGGCACACCTTATCAACGAATATATGACATTCCAGTGAGAGTGACACACCTCCACACGTACTGATGCTGATGAAAGATACAGCATGGCTACTCTGAAGTCACGGCCAAAACGGTCAGAATCCTGTGAGGGTCGTAAAGTAGATCAATCTGAATATCATGTAGAAAAAACCCATCGTAGTACGATTCCTTCTATATAACATGGCAACACTTCAATAACATATATACCTTCTCGAATCTCAACGAGATCCACCACGTACTGACATACTAAGTCCTTCCCATTTTCCCTGCAGATCGCGTTGGACGTGGTGGTGTGGAGAAAGTCAACGAGAATATGTGGCAAGGGGTCCCTGAACACTGATCAGTGATCATAAATACATCTTTTGCTCTGGTATCAGACTTACTAGTAACACCCGGAGCCCGAAGTTTGCCGAGTAATGCAGGCCTAATGATCGCGCCAGTCCCATCACTTACACCTGGTGCTTCGCCCGGCCACCCAAGGCCGCCAGGTTCACATTCACATGACCATTCGACTCAACCGCGCCGAATCCCGATACTCGAAAAGCACACATGCCAAGCAGCAAATGCATACGCAGTCAAATCAACAATAAAACCCTTGGACTACTGATGGCATTGCTATTGTTGTTGTGGGAATGATGATCCGTTGGGGCATATCAGATAGGAGTTCCGAGGAATGGCCAGCATTGAAGCCAAGTGCCGGTTATACAGGGTACCGATGCGCCTGTCTAGACAGTGCAAAAATTAGTTTCACTAGTGCAACCATGCCTGCTAGTAAAGAGATGCTCGACACGCAGTGCCCACATACACACCTGGCCACCGCGGTATGTTCCCGTCCCGAATGTTGACAGCGAGAATTAACGCGGCTATGACATACGTCAAAGAGCTCTCCTCAGCTTACATCGTAGACCAGCACGAACTGGTAACACTTAGTAACCAGAGGGAATAGGTTCATGTCAACCTCACAAAGGATCAGCAAGCGAACTTGCCCAACATTATCATTGCATATCACCTGCATTCCAGACTTTTTCATCGTCCTCACTGGTGAGTCATCTTTATCATCTGTTACGACAAATGGCACTCCTGCTACTACAACATTCAATCTATTTCACCCTGCCGGAATGTTGTTACAAGAATCTGGCCTGAATGCATCTTTTTGACCGATATGAGAGTTTAGATTGTATGCCATCATACGGTTGAGAGTACCAAAAACTTGGGCAACAAGTCTAACGAGGCGTTCGGCAAGAGCCAGGTGACGCCTGTGACGCGGCACTGTCACAGATCCTTCCAAAAAATCCAAACACTCATTCAACTATTAATGATCAACGTATATGAATATTCACTTCTTACTAAATGAACACAGTGCTTGTCCCCTGCGTTCGTACTACTCGGGAATGTAGTGTGCATCTTTTGTTTGTCTTGTATTGCATCTAATTATTGATTCAATGTTGATTTTCAGACGCAGCGCGAATTATTGTCTCACTGTGTTAAGCCTCGACCCCACCTTGTCAGGTCTGATGCAATCTTTATGCTCTGTACTACCATGTCAAGAACCATCTTCGCAGCCTCTGTACTAATATCGACTTCCACACTTTGCCTATGCCGCGTCAAGGCCCACTTGCATGCCATGTCAAGCATAGCACATGTCGCGCCAGGCCTTATCCATGCCGCGTTAAAAACCTACCCTGCGTGTCAGCACTTCAACTGTCAGTGCAACTTAGGTCTAACGCGGCCGTCACGCATGCTTTAAGGTGAGCAATTTCTCCATGACTCTTTGCTTACCTCTCTGACGCTATAGCTAAAACATAGATGCTCCGCACATTGCAACGACTTCTCACACAGAACTGGCGTCACTGCGACTCCGTCTCGAATGCTCCATCCCTCCCTTGACTTATGAGACACTCACAGGAGCTATTTTATCTCTGCACAGGCAAAAATCTATGTACCAGAAGTATTGGTCCTTCTACAGCCCAAGCAAATCAATGCTGCGGTCCAAAACCCTGCAACTACGTGGAATTTAGAATACGAGCGGGTGGTAACACCGAACACAGGCAGTAACTCCAAGAACAAAGCACCATCACAACGTTCTCGCACGAAAAAAACTTCGGATCTTGTTATCAGTGTTGGAAACTGAATGGTTCCATCTCCGCTTTCCTCGATGTGCCCACTCCCTGTTTCCTGCACTAGTTTCAACATTGCAGTAGTGTCACTCCGGCATCCTGTGCCATTAATAATTTATGTTTAATCCTGCTCTACCCATTTTGCATAACTCTGACCTCGCCTGCAATGTGCCATCTCGGCCATAGTTCTCCCGCTCTCTGCGCTTGTACAGACAATTGGAGTCTCAAGTCTGCATAAGCCAACTTGTCACATGACACCTAAGCAGCCGCCGATAAGGTGGAGTGGGATTGGAGTTCATGTTAGCGTCTTCTCATTTTCAAACCATCTGTATTGCATTTCTTATATCTCATAATGAGTTCTCTCAATGGTTGGCACAAAGGTGAACGTGCCATTCAGGAGAAACTCGGATTTCATGGAGTTGTATCCCAGTCTTGGACTCAAATCAAAGGAGAAATTCCCGAGCAGCACCGAAATTTCTACTCCACATGTCTCCCATTTATTCCTATCACCACTCTTGATTCTATGGGTCGTCCTTGGTCTTCAATACTCGCAGGTCCAGATGGAGAGATTGGGTGGGTTTCCAGCAAGACGTACGACCAATTGTCTATGCGGGTAGAGGTCTGGGACGGCGATCCGCTCAAGGCGAATGCGGATTATCATGCTGATACTACAGATGGATCTCAGAGGAAGATGCTAATTGCTGGTATTGGTGTAGAGTTCTCAACTAGGCGCAGGAATAAGTTCGCAGGGTCGGTCAAGGCTATTGAAAAGCAAGGGGGTTTATTAGATATCTGCACGACTGTAAACGAAGCTATTGGGTACGTCCACATTCTTTTGAACTTGCTTTAGCGAGTGATAAGCTGGCTGTCCGCAGAAATTGCCCGAAATACATCACGATCCGCAATCTTGTTCCATTTCCACACACGAGACCTCGAGTCATTCATCAAGAGATCAATGTCCCCCCGACTGGCCGCCTTCCTCCAGATCTCATCGCATTCATCCATTCATCCGATACCGTATTCCTAGGCTCATCATACTCGGCCTCTGAGGAAGATGCACCGAGATTTCCATCTCACCTTGGCATGAATCATCGCGGCGGGAGGCCTGGGTTTGTTCGTGTACGCAACGATGGGCGTACTCTCGTCTTGCCTGATTACTCAGGTAAGCACTGCTGTGTCCACATACTTAAATTGATTACGAATCCCCTATCAATACTTAGGCAATCGAATGATGACATCCCTCGGAAATATAGAAGTCACAGCTCTTGCTTCTTTGACATTCCCATCGTTCACCAACGGATCGCTCTTATATGTTACCGGAATTGCTCATAACCTTCTTGGCGCCCCCGCGCAAGCAATTATGCCTTCGCAGAATACTCTCACCACGATTGAAATAACGGGCTATATTTTTATCGAGGACGCATTACCTGTCCGCCAACGTGAAGGGACAGAGCCTCAGAGGAGTCTGTATGCACCCCCTGTGAAGCTGCTCAAAGAAGAACAAGCTTCTTCAACGTACTTCAGTACCGAAGACGCTATACATGCAACGCTTTCTCACATCCAGCTTCATTCTTCCGATCTCGCCACATTCACGTTTGAATCTCCTCACAAGCTTAACGTCATCCCAGGCCAAGCCGCCGTCCTTAATCTCACCTCTTTCCTCGGTGCGTCGCCATACAGGCACATGGCACCCGAGGACCCAAATTCAGTGAACGACGACCGTATAAGGACCTGGACTATTTCGTGGTGCAGCTCGTGGACTTCGGTTGCGGATGGGACAGGCACGACATTTTCATTGACAATGCGCCTGAAGCCTGGTGGTGCCATTACTGGGGCACTATTTGGCATTGCCAACAAACTCTCAGCAGTCCGCCCTGAGTTGCTTGAGGACTCACGTCCGCTTGGACTGGGAGTTACGCTGGTCGGAATAGTAGGGGACTTCGTCCTCGAGCCCACAGACTCTCACGAGGGCCCTAAAATCGCGGTTACACGCGAGGAAGAACAGATTTCTGTCCGAAAAAATGCTCCAAGGAAGCTCCTTTGGATAGCCGGCGGGATTGGAATAACACCTTTCCTCGCTATGCTCTCTGACATTCCCCCACACTTCGCCGAGTATGAAATCACCCTTTTGTTATCTACGCGCGAGCCAGATGTGATGCTCTCTCTTCTTTCCAATGCCATCAAAGCTGCTGCCCACGAAGTCAAACTAGTCGTTCATGTCTTCTCGCACACTGAACAATTCGAGAGCTCCTTGCCCGCTTCCGTATCGCTTCATCGTCATTCTGGATGGATCACTTCCTCGTTTACCTCTGACTTCAAAGCTGAATGTGTGTATATTTGCGGCCCGGAAATATTCGAGCGGGAGGTTGTCCAGGGTGTGGTCGGGAAGGTGAGAAGGGAGGAGTTTGCTTACTGATGTATGTCAAGGTTAGGCGCGGTGTTTCTTGACTTTCTTTCAGAATGTAGGGAAGTTCTTCGAGGTCTTAATCGCACGGCCATAGACATGTTTAGTCTGCACAACCACTTTACTCGGCCCTCGGCCGTACATCAGAGGCTGAGGCAGGTTTTTGTATACGATCGTGTTCAAGTGATAGCGCCTGTGCTACATCTGATCCGCTGGCCGGTTGGAAAAGGTGGTAAAAACAAGGTGACTGAAAGTACGTAAGGACTTGGTGATGAATCTGATGATACCTTTTGCCTGGATAACGTAAGCGATGTCAATCAGTGTTTCACTAAACTGGTCTTTTTCTCATCGTCCTCCGAGCCTTCAAAAGCTCGATTGACAGTCGGCGATTGCGAACGCTATCCTAGAAAATAGTACTGGAATTAAATTCGGCGGTGGCATCATTTTTTTTTGGACGTGCCTCGAGGAGGAGCGCTCTTCGGCAGGATCCATGGGCCCCGGCCCCCTAATTCCCCATTCATGAGGCCTGAAGGCCTGAGCACTGAGCCACTCATCCCCACATCAAGCAGGTAACCAGAAATTACCTTACAAGGAAAGAAATAATGAAAAGTGTTGAGACGCAATCGAGCCCCCTCCCACTCTTTTGCCTTCCCCGCTAACCGAGTGGCTCGTCCCTTATGTTCAAACCATCGCACACGATTGCTTCGCGCTTTTTGCCTTTAAAGGCAGAAACGCGCGCTGCAGAAAAACAATCGCACTCGAATTCCACAGCACGCCTGGTGGTTCAAAAGAAGCGGGGAAAATGTGTGGACTTGCCACAACACACGCGCTATTGATTCATTCCAGGGATTTAAGCCCACCTCGCAGATCATTCACAACCGTTTTTTTTCTATCAAACACTACTACAAAATGCCTGCTACAAGACCTAACTTGGTACGCTTCCAGCCTACCTCACTTCACGCGTCTTGCACTCATGACACACTCTACAGCAATCTGTTGAATGCCCTGTCTGCCACAGGGTTATTAGCCGCAAGGCCGATCTTCCTAGACACATGCGTATACACGCTGAAAATAAGGATGCACTGTACGTACTCGCTCTCTATTAAACCAGATGGTTCTTGACCTGTTGACTATCTTCATCAGTAAGCACGCATGCCCATATGATGGATGTGATTACAAAACCCTCCAAAAGTCCAACGTCCAGACGCACATCAGGACCCACACCGGGGAACGCTCTAAAATGTGCCTTCACCCTGGATGTAAATTTTCTACCACCGATCCAGGCAGCCTGACGCGGCACCGCAAGTCAGAACACGGTTACAAGCCCAAAGCGCGTCACATTCCAGACGGCAAAGCTGCTCGACAGTCCGCCGCCGCGCCTTACCCTTGTATTCGATTTGTGAAGCCAAAGGTAGAGACTCCTGCCTCGCTGGATCTTAATGACCTAACATTTCCTGAGTTCCCAGGTCTCACACCCTGCGGTGCACTCTCGCCCTCCGAGTCCAGCGACTCCCAAATCCCAGGCGAGTTCACGGAACTCTCCTTGGACCGACTCTTCCCCGATCTCTCTGCCGAAAGCTTCACCTCCATATGTGGTCAGCCCTCTCAGCTCCCCGTACACACCCCGAACTACCTCCAGCCTCCGACCGTCCCCGTCGATCTCTCCGCTCTCTACATCGACCCGCAGTTGCTCTCCGATGCCGCGCATCCGCAGCCCATTCACGCTGTCGGATTTCAGTCTCAGTCCCAGCCCATCGCCAATGAGGACTTTCAGTACCAGCCCGTCTCCGGAACAGATGTGAACAACAAATCACCAGTTGATCTGGAGGAGTTTTTACAAAAATATGGCTCGGGGTTCTTTGAAGACCGCTGCGAGTATCCTGAAAATGCACCGTATTCGACGGCAGAGCCCTCGTTTACAAACGAATACAACGTCTATTGAATATTCTCTTTCATCTTTCATCTTTTATCTTTCACCTTTCATCTCGTTGTCAAATCACCTGTGCATCAGCATCACAAATACATGTAGAACTCGGAATTATCATTATTGGTCATTTATTTCACATCACTTGCATCCTTTGTACATATCTTCAACTTCAAATTACTGGATGTACCATTGACAGCAGTACACGAATCTCATGACAATGAAATACAAATTGATCAGAATCTTATCGGACGCGACTGATCACGTGGTTCGAAAATCACATCGTGACAAAGTCATCAAGTGGCCTCTTGACATAACCACTACCGCCACTTGAGCCTGAGATGCACGCTGCCAGCACGTTTCCTTGAGCCACGCCATAGCTCTGTCCACACTGTTTTTCTATATCAATTACCTTTATTTTTTTCATTTCTCTCATTTCTCTCTCTGTCTCTGTCTCTCACCGTTTGACGATATACTTTTGAGTCAACGACATACAGCATTGGTTATCTACTACATCACAATCTGTATCAATTTCGGTTTAATAACTGTATTTCATGTCCACGATCCTCTCCAGCTCGGAAACGACAAACAATTCGCCGACTCCGATCAGTCCTTTCTCCAATTATTCAGCTGCTAGTGACGCAACTTCAGATGGTGAGTCACCGCCATCGTGATCTTCTCTATTCTATTTTGGTGAAATGCGATCTAATATGATGAACTTTGATTTGTGGGCGTTAGAGTCACCCGACCTCGGGGCTTTCACCACTGTCTTTAGGGCCCTCAACCACCTCCAGCCATTCGTGCCTCCTCGAGGGGGTGCCTACACCCACGCAGAGCTTGACACACCCTCCACTGACGCCGGCCCGCCCTCTTCACTTCCGACGGACTCGGAGTTCATAGAAGGCTCTACGGTATGGAACCAGAGCATGCTAGCGTCTTATCTCGCATCCTCGAGCTCCTCACACACACGCTCAACGTTGACCAGCATGACTGCAAGCCCGTGCCTTCCAAATCCCGACGACAACTTTGATGACTCCGGAGAAGAGACGGAAGGCGAGCTTGAACCGCTCATATTCACGTTCACGACACCTAGTCGATCACAGTCTCATAATTCGGATGCAGATCTGAGTCACGACCATTCACTTTCTGATGGTGATATTGACTTAGGGGACCAACCCAGTCTTGGTGACCTCGGTGGCGCGTTTTCCTTTCTTGCTGCGGAGCGTGCCAGAATTGCTGCCCGTGACCGTGGTACAGGTAAAGATAGCTCCACGAGCGATGGCGCTTGGAGAAACGAGGCAGAACCTCGCCGTACACGAAAGCGGAGAAGGAAAAAGGCGAGGGTCATTCAACTCCTGCAGCGAGATCGAGAAAATGTGGAACAGGAGAGCACGAGTCACACCACGGGAACCAGCACAGTATTGGGCGTATCTGGGACAACCGGCGTTATCGCTGTCTCCTCGAACCCAGAGCCCGAACCTGAGATAGGAGAGTCGTCGTCTTCTGGCGATAATGTTGCTGTTACTATGCCTTCGACGCCTGCACACAAGTCATCGTTAGATAGGCTACGCCACAGTCGTTCTACCCCATCATTGCATCTATCACAGATACCCACCAATCCTCAAATTCTTAAGTTACGTTGCCTTGCCCATAAGCTACGACTCAAATTCCCGGAGGACTACGACCGCATTACGGCGTTACTCACGCAGGACTTTAGTGGTGCCGATTCCGACTTCTCAGACCCTAGGGGTCCAGCGCCGCGACCTAGAGACTCTTTGATTCATGTTTTTATCGACCAGTGAGAATTTTTGTCACCTGAATCCAATGGCTGCTAATGTATCATTTCAGTTCGAATATCCTTATCGGTTTCTTAACCTATGCTCGCCGTCACGCCTCTCACTCGGGTAGGAAACGACGCCTCTCCCACGCAGCCCTCGCGCTCCTCCTTGAACGCGGACGCCCCATTACGCGGCGTTGCCTAGCCACTTCCTCTCCGCTGTATCAACCAACAGACACAGCCGAACAACTCGGGTACGAAGTTTGCATTTTTGTGCGTGTGCCAGACGGTGGGAATGGCCAGTACCGTCGTCCACCAAGTGCCAACACCAATGCAGAATCATGGCGCAAGGGACACGCGCGAGCATCATCAGACTCTGATAAAGGCGTAGGTGGAAGCGGAGGCACAGGCTTGACTGCGTCTGGGAACGGCGGCCGTAATGGACGCGTCCGCTACCGAGAGCAGGGGGTCGATGAGCTGTTGCAGCTTAAGCTGCATCAGGCGATCGCGGATGTGGACGTGCCGCGCCCGGGTGCGACAATAGTGCTAGCAACGGGTGATGGGAACGTCGGGCAGTTCAGCGACCAGGGCTTCCTTGGTCCTGTGCGAATCGCACTGAAGAAGGGATGGCGCGTCGAGCTGTACGCATGGGAGGAGGGCCTGAGCCGTGCGTGGAAGAAGGAGTTTGGGGAGGGCACGCCGTGGAAGGATAGGTTTCGCATTATCAAGATGGAGGATTTCGGAGAGGACTTATTAGAGGTCGAATAGGGGCGGTGAGCGGCGCTGTCTGTGTTTAATTGTTTTGTCGAGATGTACGTTCTTTTGTTGTTGTGCATGTTGTTACGGGGGAGTTGGCCTTTATGCTGACTCAACGATACGGTTCCTTTTATCTCGGTCTGTAACAAGCATCCACAAATTTATTTCCCAAGCAGTTATGAGTTACTGTTATCATAGGTTTTGTGGAACATCAATTACGTTCTCGTATACGTAGCTATGTCCATCATGGAAATTACGAAGTTAACATAGACTCTTCTCCAGCTTCCTGTCAAAGGATTCCAAATGGTCCGGTCCTCAGAGACCGCGTTGCTCTCTATGTAGTATGGAGTAGCTATCGTTGAGGATGGTTACCAATTAATACTGGTCGCTTCATGTATGGGATTGGCATCAAGGTCATCGATTATTCACAAAATTCTCGTTTGACCTTTCAAAGGACATATATGCGGTCGGCGAAGGCCATGGCCTTGTCGAAATCCGCTTTCCTGTCAAAGAGAAGCTTTTAGCTCTCACAGAACGCAGTGGTATAGAGCTTTATGACATCTAGAACCTGTCAAAGGCACCGCAGCTTCAGGCAACATTTATGCTGTCCATCCGTTCAACCCACTTCGGATTTCGATATCCTTCAGTTTTCCATGGTGCCTCGGGTGTGCGCATCTCGCGACACCAGATGAACGTTAGGTCTGGACAACAAACCCCGCAGATCGCATTACTAAATATGCGTGACAGGATACTCTGATTGGATGTTTGTCATACCCACTCGCCTGATATTCCTCCAGGATGGTTTATTGTGGCCTCTGGACTGACCGTTCCATGACGATCATTGGGTCCACGTAATACTAATAGTCGCTGCTTCCGACTCCTAAACGTGAGCATATTTAGATCTCGTGTTATATGGGTTGTTCGTAAAGATCACGGGTCCGAGGTGCGTGTGCTAGATTTCAATCCCTCCGCCGTGGCGCGCGGCATCGACAGGGTAGTTCGGGAACGTACGACTTTCTCCTGGCACAAAGAAAAGTTTGGGCAGTATTTGCCAGTGACAACCTACCTCCCTTAGGTAGAGGTAGTCAGTGACCGTACTCTTGATACCTTTGATGTCATGCTAGACGAGGGGATGATGGTGATGTTCTTAGATGTGAGTGTGTTTTTACCTGTCAAACCAGAAGATAACCATCTCCGTCCCCCTCAATAGGATGAGATGATGGAGATCAGCTCATAGCCCATGTTTCACCAAAGTCGTCAACAGTGGGTTAACATGATTATATACACCAGTATCCGGGACTCATTCTGTTCCTGAAATTCACGTTTCAACCAACAGCGGGCTTGTTTTGATCAGCTTTGTATTCCTACCTGACCGGCACATGGACGTGAGTGCATTGAGTCCATGTTATTGATGATATGCAAAACGTACTTGGCAGAAGCTTGATTCTGTACAGTGCCCTCGCCGCTTGACTTGGGAGTCACTTCATGCATGCGATCAAGAACCTTTGGAGTCTTGGAAGATAGCACTTTCAGGTGATGGTCGACAGCAAGGGCATAACCTCACAGAAGAGCTGTTCAAGGGGAAGATCCAGCGGGAAAGGGATGGGGACACCGATACGATCAGCAATATTTCTAGGTTATTCGCTCAAGAATGGTGTTGTCGTGCAAACACGCACCCAAAACTGTAGACTTGTTTGCGTGACCGCCCATCTGGGAGTGCCGACAGTAACTCATTGCGTCAGGCCGTGCTTATTGCTCTAGCACGTCCAGATCTTGAATCCTCGTTGTCATACACCCATTCGCCGCCGCTCACAGTGGAAGCTCGATGCCCAAAGATACTCAATATACCAAGGCCATCCAAATGCACCTCCCGCCCACAACAGAACATGCAATCCTATAAACTAAGTCATCCCGAACCCGACCACTGGCAACACCAACCCTACTATGTGAAAATTAAACGCTATGATCAGACTTGAGTACAAATCAGCGTATACGTGGGTGGGAAGTAACATATATCGTCTGTCCCCAGATAATAGACTGGGGCAAGAGGGTATTGACGAGAGTCCGGTCATATATAATTGTCTGTATTCCAAACGACGCCGAATAAGCCACATGATAAGAGGTCATACCGTCTGGTCTGCAGTTGGCGCATCGGGTATGGGTGTAAGCACAGGGGCATCAGAGAAATGTAGTGGCGCGTCGGACATAAGAGCAAGCATAAGGGCATCCGAGCCACGTATATGAAGGTCCTGACCGACATTCCAGAGATGGAGGTGCATGCGGGTTGCGAGGATCGCAAGGACATAGAACTGGAGGCTGTGTGTGTTTTAGGAAGTCGTTAGCAGCGGAGTTTGGAGATGCATACTTTTCGAAGACGGAGTGAATTGCGTACTGGGTGTGAGGAGTATCAATGACTTGATCATAAAAGGTATCGGGGATTTGCGTACTTGGGAAAACAGCATTGGCATGAGGACGTTCACGGCCGCAAGAACTTTCATAACAAGGGTCATCACTGATGAGCACAGAAATATATGCATGTCTTGACTCACACAGACCGCATGCATAGTAGAATATATTATGCTTCACCAGGACGGTGTACAGGGGGCCGTTGACTGTCCGCCAGTTCTGCATGGCACGTATCAATGTGAGAGAGATTAGTCCTAGGGAGAGCGTGATCAGCGCGGGCCTGTAGTGTAGGTATTGTCTCAATTCCCAACGACATACCCAGTTCAAATACAAACAAGAGAAGAAACGGCATGGAGAGTTGGATACCATGCGAGGTCCGGTAGCAGCCTGTGATGCCTGGAATCGCGCTGGTCATAACTGTAAAAGTGGAGTCAATATGTCGGAATAGTAGTAGGGGAAGAACAACCATGTGAGGCGGCAATAGTGGTGAAAGCAACATCGATGGACGCTATTACAAAGGTCTAACTCGTTCATCAATTGTAAGCTTGAGTGTGTCGAGGGTATGGGACTCACAATAGCGGTGCATACCGTGGCTACCAGAACGAATTTATTATTGTTCCAGAGCGCATATGTTCTGAGCACAAAAATGGCTGGATAAGTCGGATCAGAAGCACATGTATGTCACGGAGGAATGGGAAATACATTCAGAGCAAACGACGGATATGAAGCCGAAACCTGTGAGAGGAAAGGGCAGCGCTCGACAAGGACGTGCATTCAGCATATACCGTGCACGTACTTGAGTAAATATTGATCAACATCAGGCATTTCTAGTGAAGTCATGAAGTAGGCGTCATCCACTAGACTGCGCATTGACACACCTCGGAATGGTTGTCCGGGGTGAAATACACTGAGGCACAACATGTCAATTTATTGTAGAGAGGATGTGTGCTGGAGCTGAACGCACGATATAAATCCAAGGTGATAATGACAAATGGGACATTTCGTGTGATGATATATAGGCATTTTACCTTGTTCCAGCGCGACCGAAGTAGGAATGTCCACTTTCAAGGCGCAATATATTGATCATCAATATGAAAACCGAGGCAGATCAGAAAACAAGTAGCACCTCTTCGTGAAGTGACCAAGCATAATAATAGGTCTGGACATGCGAATTTAACAGCAGACAGTCGGAATATATCGGGTCGCGCCTACCCAGAATGTGGCCGTTGACACTAAGCCGCTGTCACGTTAGAAAAGGAAGGAGTAGTTCAGATAGGACGCACCGCATAGGTACTGGTGGCGCATGGGAAGTATATTTGTTAATATCTGACCTCGTATTAACAAGAAAGCGACGCACCGTTAAGAACTGCAGACTACTGGCCGCTGCGACATCGTCAGCTGAATACTGCATCTGTTCAAGAGGTAAAAACGGTTCACATCAGGCCACCAGGAAAAACCTCCGCCAGGAATTCAAAGTAAGTAATTATTTAAAGGGACGTTCACACCTGGGAGTTTATGCATATATGGTTTATGCCCATCCCTGCTTACATTTCCAATCAATAGCATCCGACTTGTACGTGGGTGTGAGCAAACCAAGACCAATAGCATTACAATTGTCAATATTGTCATGTTGCTAGTAGCCACGAACAAATTCGAACAGACGTAGCTTCGTCTGGCTCTAGAGTCAATGACACGATCTAACGAAGTTGGGCTGAACCGAACGTTAGCTCGAGTGGGACACAAGCAGATGGAGCCGCTGGGGGGGCGGGAAACTTGCTTACGAGTTCGACCGTGCGCTGACTCTCGCATGGCACCATCAACAAATATACTTTATTCGCACTACACCGACGACGAAACGGTGCGGCAACAGAAGTTACAACATGTACCGGGGGTGGGCGCAAAGAACGAGTAACAAACTCATTAAGTAGACGGTAGGCCAGAGTCAAAATGAGGAGAAATTGCGTAGATACATACCAGAAAACACGAGCAAGCTACATCATCCTACACCTTGATAACATTCAAATTACAAAAATGAAAGGTAGAGCGCAATCTCTGTTTGCCAAGCACCATACATAGCCAAGAGACTATGGAGTGATTACTGAGCAAAGAGAAGATGAGATCCCAAAGAAGAAATCCCCCGACGACGCAAGCCAGTAGTGCAGCAGCAAGGTCATCATGTCCTCCAAGTTGCAAGCAGAGCTCGGAAGAACAAGGGCGGCAAAAATTTGATAACCAAAGAATGAGGGCGGTGCCCTCATAATAGTGGTTAAACTATTAAGAACAGATACTACACTTGATCTAAGCCAAAAGGCCAGAGTGGTAAGGATTCAGATTGTGACCAACTCCCTTTTATACGAAAGGACAAGAGTGCACGGGCCACCATTTCGATTTGGGCATAAGCCTAACAAGGACAAACAACACTCTTGAACACCACCCATCTCTGCCATCTGCCTCCGAAGCTTCAAAACTAATTGTCAAGTCTTAACCTGTCAAGAACTCAAATTGTAACGTGACCGCCACCCTTGCATTCTCGGCCTGTCCTACAACACCCACATCTGAACGCTGCGTCCTTGTGTTCCCTGCTGCCTCCCAATGCATCTCACACTGCCGCTTCCTTCCGAAGTTCCGCTCCAGTTGCTTGCCCTTGCATTATCTGGGACCAACCTCCTGCTATATTCCTTAACGCCTCCTAGCAACCTGCTGTTAAAGTCCGACTCAGGAATGGTCTCGACGGAATATGGACGACCGTCACCAAATGGTATAATGTTTGTCATCGACCGATGTTCGACCTATTACAGCATGAACGGTGAGTCGTTCTTACGCTATGAACAATTTTTCATTTCTATGCAGCTTAGCATGCTACTTACCCTAAAAAACGAGTTACGAGCCCATCCATACTACGAGCACCTCAGTTCCTACTTCCCTTCAATAGAATGTGTGCTAACATCTCAAGCAGAATATATTCTTACTAGGTACTCGCCACATACACGAGAGTTCCTATGAACGACCAAGATGACGTATTCCTACTAGCTCATTGTCCCGTCTGCTCGCCTCAGTTCGCTTAACCTGCCCCGCACTCCCATAAGTTTAAGTCGGAGACAAATGAACAGACACAAACATCTGGCCTGAATGCGCATGATCAAGCGCATGTTGAACTATCCGCGAGACACGGGGAACTCACATCATGGCCCCGCGTGTCAAATAGCCGGCCAAGTAAAAGGTAAAAAAATCCAAGCCCTTAACCTGGATAGGCACCGAGAAGTGCTGCCTGGTGACCAGCGTAGTAGCTACATGTATTTAGAATAGAACATCCCTTCGGTTGACCTGTCTATCAGGAACTGTATCAAAATGCCATCAAGCTGAAGGTGTGCTGTCATGTATTTTGCAAATGATGTTATTAATTTATTCAGCAAAGGTAAGACTTCCCTTCGACTTTGCAACATGCTCAAGGACATTCGTAGGCGGCTCTGCTACATTCGTCACATCGTGAACTACGCGAGAGTTGTCATTTGAATATTTCGAGACTGCAATCAAGGAGGGGAAGACAGGCCCACGTTATCCTCCAAGCGGACCACCTTAGATTTAGGGATAAAAACACGATGCTCATCAACCCAATTCAAGACCTTCTCAAAGTTTCTGCATTGGTGAGGAACGTTGAAGTTAGGAAAAGGATTTTCGAGTCCCTCCACCCAGTCGTAAGTTAGCATCGCCACATCGCCACGACACATAATATTCTGCCTGAGCATTTCGATGCAATATTGGTTTGAGGTATAACATATTAGTAAGCAGGATGTGGGCTGGAGAGGAAACAGTGTACCTACCGAGGCGAGTGCGCCAGGGGGATTCGTGGGAGTCATGGCCCGAGGAATCATCATAGTCACCCCAGCTGACTCTGCGAAGCATGTCCTACAGCGGAGTGAGTAAAGATCGACTAGCCTCCCTGTATTACAACTGACTATACAATGGAGCTGGTGAATGACTTCTACAATTGCCATGTAACCTCCACCGTATTCATCCGGATACCTAGTCATGGCGGGAGAAGGTTTCTCCCCAGTCCTGAGCAATTGCTCAAGCGTCATACGAACTGGACGCGCTGGGAAATATAGTCCGGATCAGTAAATGTCTATGATGTGAGTGAAGCATAGAGCGCAACCATTAAGAGACATCCTATCCCAAGCGGCGTTGATTTCTGGAGACGGGCTGCCACGATATATAGAAGGGGTGCCCAGAGTTCCATTGAATCTTATAATGCCGATAGATTCAATCGCCTCGTTTGCTGGGGCTGTGGTCGACGAGTAAGCAAGGTCCTGTGCGTTGACGCTAACCGTCTACCTACAGTACAGAACAACGCCATCGATCGATGGCGCCCATACCCACAGCACGAAGAACACCATCGTTATGGACATCAGTACACCATGGCTTAGCCATGGCGACCAGCGAAGGAGACGGTAATATTTTAGAGAAGGTCTTGTTTCTGTATTGATGCCAGCCGCACCTCTTAACTCAAGCATGAAGCTTTCGCTTGTCTTCAGCGTGCTCGCATCCATCGTGGTTCTTGCCACGGCGTATCCCACACAAGGAACCGTCGCGAAACGTTCCTGTGAGTATTCATGACTCATTCACTATGCTCAGGTTGATGAGTGTAACTTGCTACTAGATGTGGAGAAGCGCGATGAAATAGACGCCAGTGACTTCCTTTACCCCCTCGGTGAGGAACAACGCGAGGAAATCGACGCTAGTGACTTCCTTTACCCCCTTGGTGAGGAGAAGCGCGGGAACTCGATGTTGATATCTGATTAAGGCGCATACCAACCTCGACGCCAGGTTCTGCCCAAGTGAGTTATAGCCGTATGTCCTATTTTATGTGATGTCATCCATCGTACTAGGTCTCAGGTCTGGCAAAGTTGCAGTCAAGCCACTTCGCTGTACTATTACATATCATGACTCTCTTATCTGATTTCTTGATTTCTGACACATTGCACGCCCATGTAATACAATCCTAGTTGTCTGACTATTTTTGACCCAACTACAGACCCGCTGAGCGTTCGTGCCACTAAGTTATCATCTAGTGACAGTGTCAGGGTTTGGGGAATTAGGAATCCTGCTCCGGTTCACCGGCAAATTAGCACGGCCTCTACGAGGGTCTAGTTGACGGGTGTGAATGATACCAAATTCACTGGAATTGATCGATGGCTCTTTGAATCTTGATACTAATTTGTGCTAACTCGTGTGTCATGATGATCACCTTATTGAGCCTGCCAAATGCCCAACCTCTCCAAATAGCGCCGGAGCTCTCTCTCATCCCCTTCGATCATGACATTCTCTTCCCAGTTGTCGTCAGACTCATCAGTGTAACGAAATAGACACACCCCAAAGTCGATGAGCACCGCTCGTCTAGGGTGACTGCAAGATACGACAATGTTTTCTGGGCGCATGTCGGCATGGATGATACCGAAAGACGCAAGGCTACTCACAGCCTTTACGAGCTCCTGGTATGCTGAACTAGGGACTGAATGAGGGTCTTGGATGGTTGCGAGGTTCTCGCCCGGGATGTATTCCATGAAAAGCACTTGGGGAGATATGGCACGACCTTTACCGTGGCCTGAAAGGACCTGACCTAAACCATAGAGCCGGGGGATGGTAGAGCCCTGAAGGTGTTCAAGACATCTGTAGGCTTCAACTTCACGTGCAAATGACCTCTCATACTCGCGGTAGTAGGCTTCTTCCCACGATGAGCCGTCAAAGAACTCTCCATGGAAAGAATCTATGGTCTGAATCGTCGCCTGGTGTGAGTGTACGACGGTCAGCTGCAGCCTTTTCATTGGCGGCAGACCAAAAGATGGGAGATAGTCTCGGAAGTGGGGATGCGCGCTCGCAGTTGAAACGAGGGTCGTATATTTTGATTGGGGAGGCCGGCTCTGACAAGGACATCCTCGATTTCGACGAGTAAGACCACGCATTTAGTGACAGGGGTAAATGCTTTGCGGATGAGAGCAGCGCACATGAACGAGGATTTCTCGTCGTCTAAAAGAGATACCTGTAGTTGGAGGCGACCTCCTTGTGTATAAGGCTCTTCAACCATCGTCGCACAGGAGCTTCTAAACGTTTACGTTTGTGAACGTTCAATAAGTAGGAAATGGCGGAGTTTGAAAGAGTGAAGCGAGGGACCGAAGGCCGTTACTGTGGTGCCGTACACTCGTGTAGTAGAACGTCTCTCCCATGCGAATGTTTAATCGACGCGATGGTGGCTAAATCAGCCTGAATGGTTTAGGGTCCGCCTGAATGATTTACGAGGACGCCCATTGCTGCGGTCTTTAACTTACTTTTGGAACGCGAGAAGCCCCGCCTTATCACTTTCTTGCGTGAAATCTGGACCTGCCCTATGCACCGAGCTGATTCGAAGACGGTATCGATGAGAGTTTGGGCTTGTGAGCGGACCTACGAAAAGGTATAAAACCCCCTTGAAGATTCCAATGTAGTGCATTGACAAAGTACTAGTCGCACCTCTTAACTCAAACATGAAGTTCTCTCTTGTCTTCAGCGCGCTCGCATCCATCGTGGTTCTTGCTACGGCGTACCCCACGCAAGGAACGATCGCGAAACGTTCCTGTGAGTATCTATGACTTCATCACCCTGCTGAGGTTGATAAGCACGTAACTTGCTGCTAGATGTGGAGAAGCGCGAAGACCTTGACGCTACTCACGACTCTTACAAGGATGTGGAGGAGCGCGAGGAATTTGGCGCCAATCTTTTCAATTATAACGAACCGTACTGAACTTGATGTCAGGTTCTACGCAGGTGAGTTATAGCTGTATGTCTTTTTATGTGGGAGTCATCTATCGTATTAGGTCTGGCATCGCTGCAGCCTCACCCACAAGTCACTTCCATGTATTACTACATATCATGACTCCTTTATCTGATAGCTTGTTCCGGCTGATACTAAGAAAGTGGCCATACGTCCCGAATATAACGACCACTCGACATCCCATCAAAATATAGAGGGGGTCCTCTAAGATCAAAGTTTATTGTATATCCATGGGGTGACTGTCTAACACCGATCTTCCTTACCTTCCCCTTTGTCTTAGGTATCGAAGCAGATGTCCCAACTTGCGAGTTCAATGGTGCGCGCATGAACGAAGTTTCTGCGATAAATAACGCCTCGTGATCTGCATACTGTAATATGCAGGTCCGATCGAGGACCACGTACTTTTGCCACGGCTTTCTCCGGGTCATGATGAGTACACGCGAACATCTGCATCTTCGTAGATATCGTCGCTCAGTTGTCTGCTTCTACGAACAGAAGCGATAGTGCCTGTGATCTGAATGGTCGATCGTCTGCATGTCACAATAAGTATACATACTAACAGGTAACACTGCGGGCAAAGAAGGCCCTTGAGATAGAGATCAAATATCAGATTCTAACTCAGTCACCTGTGGGGAGAAGACCTCTCATCCTATGAAGGCTTTTGAGAGGGATGACTTTCTGACTCGGAGTCAACGCAGTGCATGCGCCACCGTAGCGCGTCTAGTCACTAGTTGCGCATGCACAAATACTCGGGGCACCCTCGGGCCTATGCCCCTCTAACTTTCCTCCTAGCCGTCTACGCATGCTTCATGAGCTGGACACGTGCAGTTCTCCTTTCCCTGTGCTGCGCTGTTTGTCGATATCAACCCTGTCTTCGGATATATAAGGACAGAAGGTTTGATCCCGCGGAAGTAGTTCGCGTCTACCCCATGTACGTGCCCCACCTGAGCTCCACATGCACCCTGAATGGTTCAACCGCTCACTATCTGCGCACGCTCTGCAGTCTTCTATTTTCATTCTTTGTCCGCTTATCTCCGTGTCTCTACCCCTTTTGCTCCACCTTTTCCAACGGGTGTCTTCTGAGCTCCACATGCGATCACTGAAATGCTACTTCTTATGCTTTGGAGCCGCGAGAAACGTTTTGGAAGATGTGATGGGTTTGTGCTGGTGTCCCTTGATCTAGAAGATGGCGTTGGAGATCTTCCTGTCCGTCTGCACATTCGCGCGGCAGAAACGCACCACCTGAAGATGGTATCTATTCCATCAATACTCGCGTAGTTACCACCACTGCAGACGAAGAAACCAGTTTAGAACTTTATTATGTCGATGTATGTTGATGAATCTCTTCTTATATATATCCTTCAAATTAAATGTTTTCATACTAGAACATGCAGGCCACCGATAACGGAAGAGTCCTGCATACAATTATCGTCGTCAGTACAGTTTCCAAAGTCTCTTCTATCACGGAACTTCATTCGCCAGGCTTCTTCATTGAAGATGGCGCAACAAATTTGCCACTTCCAGGAGAGAAAATATCCTGCACACCATTAGATGAGCTCTAAGATAAAAACTCCACACTTACCATGATCACTCCTCTCGAAATGAGCCGAAGTGCAGCTCGGCTCTCCCACAGGGGGTATATCACGACTGTGAACGCCGACAAAAATGTCCAAATGATACCGACTATCACCCATACTGACAAGCCGGTAACGCTATAGACCGTCTGGGCAAAAAAGAGGGGGAGGGGGATAATTATCATCAGTACCAAAGTCTGTAGAGCAAGAGGCTTCAGTATCTGAGCAGTTACAAGGAAACGTTGAAGTACGAACAAGTACTATTGATGCTCTGGCAGCAAACTTAAATGCCTTATTTAGGCCAACTGGGTCCAACTCGGGATCGATTTGCGCTTCATTTGTCACGGATAACACTGATGCATCTTGTACTTTCTTCTCATCCTCTGGCTCCTCTAGTTCGTCGTTGATATTTGTACTGGCAACGGCGGCACTGCGGGCATTGATTGCACGAGTCAAAGCAAAATCGTAGTCATCTGGCCACTGCAGGATTGATCAGCTCATGATATCAATAGACGAAGCAATTTGCGCACGATAAGTGAAGCGGTAGTTGAGATAATAGCACCAACACCGATTGACGCAAGGTTTCCTGCGAGCATTTCGTAGTTGCCTATTAATCATTTCAGCTTCACATCAGTATTGAAGTTGGCGGTTGTCTAACCTCCGCTCGTCTGATACACAGTAAGGTCAAGCGAAATAATAGGAAAATAAAAGACATACGGTGACATTGATGACTTTTTGGTTAAGCGCAGAGGTGGTGACCAGCCAGGCAATAATACCTGCGGAAAAGCCAATGACCGAACCACTAATGCAGCCCACTTTGCTAGCTTTTTTCCAGGTAATGCAAAGGGCAATTGGGCAGACAGCAGAGCCGAGGATGACCCCCATGAATGTCTGCAAACCATGTCAGGCACAACACGTAGCACGGATATAGGCACTGACGTAAAGCCAACCCATGGATACCCCAATGTAGTAGAAAATAACACCGGCGATGCCCATCACAAGGGCAAAGATGACAACCTAATCAAGACAGATGATAAGGAGATTAGATATGCCTGCAGAAAAAAATGTTTACCCCAGCATGGCTCATACGCAGAATTTGTTGCTCCGTAGCCTTCGGATTGATATATCTCTATGATCAACAGTAAGCAATTTTGGCGCTGAATGCCGGAAAGCAACATACCACATAGACATCGTAAGTCAAAATAGAAGAGACGGCGATGAGTTCCGCACTCGTGGCACTGGTCACAGCCAAGAAGAGGACGATAAGAAGCGCAGCTGCGCCCGATTTCCCGAGCAATGTCGCAGCAGCAAGCGAAGCCGGAAGACCCGCTGAGATGGCATCTTGCGAGAGCGGCGCAAGTAGGGGAATAAAGCTGCTTGATAGTGGATCTTGTGACGAAGAGTTGGCAGCAGGCACCGCAGAAAAAGCGACCGCAGAAAGCCCAAGCGTAGTTGAGAATACAAATGGAATAGCAAACCTATACTAGAATCAGAAACGACGGCACATGCCAGTAAAGATACGCCAAGTTACTCACCATGCCAAGCCACCAATAAGGTACGCCTTGACAGTCGTAGAAGGTCTGCTAGCAATAGCGCGTTGCCAATATGCCTGATCTTGGAAGACAGTCGCAAAATTTCCAATGAGATTGATAACACCGAAGATGAGGCCGTTTTTAGAGCGGAAAGTCAGGTACGAGCCGCCAGCATTACCGGCTACGGGTGAGATCTGCGACACCTCACCCAATAGATAGTGCATGCGACTGATGGAACCAATGTAGCCCGAGGTTGCATATACGGTGAACACAAACGTCAAGATGATAGCAAAGAGGACGGTTGTATGTGTACTGAAAATAAAAGTATGGGTCAGGGAACATGGCATGTACAACATCCACCTACTAATCGCAAAGCAGTGTGGAACGCATTCCACCGACGACGACATAAATTGCAACACCCAGCGGGATGAGGAAACACGCAGCAATCGTGCTCATCCCAGTCAAACTCGTCACGGTGGCCGAACCACCCAAAACAAGCATTGAGGACACGATCAAGTTTGTCGCAAGACCGAAAACCATGAAAATGAGATGCGCTGTAGTCCCCCACCGCGTTCCAACAATCTCAAGCCAGGTATGTGCATAAGGAGCATTGAGCTTTAGCTTCGCAGCAAGCTGCGCGAACAAGAGGACCTGTACAGTCGCACCTGCAGCATACCACCATGGCCCCGCAATGCCATATCTATAGGCAATTGCACTAGATTGGAGCTAAGTGATATCGCCCGCTAAGTTACACGTGGATATGGATGTTGAACATGGACATACTAGCGTTGCTGCCCACGTCCAAGCAGAGACAATGCCAGAGGCAATAAGCCCAGGCTTCACTGAGCGCGAGGCAGACGAAAACTCCTCGGAATCTTTGGGGGAGACACCTGTGTAGCGTGCCTGCATGGCAGTCAAACCCACCATGAAAGCGCTGAAGAACAGTCCGATCCCTGGATATCTTCAGCAAATGACAGGATATATTACAATGTGTCCTACCGATGACTGGAAACGTTATTGGAGATCAGTGTTTGGAACATGTGAATCAGAAACCAGCTCACCGACGCCATACCCTGCACCTTGGGGGAGAACTTCACTGGTCGACATGGGAGCGAATGTGTTCAGAATGAAGCTAGACCTTACCTCATTCATTTCCAACTCATTTATAAACCGCACTTCTTATCACTGACACCCGAGGCACAGCCAAATAAGATTCCGCAACAGGTTGCCACTCAGTTTGGGGGACATACTGATAAACATGTATCGGGATATCGTGTGTCAGGTGTGAGAGGATGTCGCGCAGGGACATCATAAGCAGCTAGTTCACACAAACGTCTACAATGAAATGCCGAACCAGTTCCAGGCCAAGCGCGGCCGGCCGGCCAGGCTCCGCGGGATTTATTATGTAACTTTGATAAAGGCAAGTATTCCGGGCTAAGTATTAATGATCCTCTTGCCACCTTCTCTTTATTTTTCATCACATCCTCAGACTGGGAAATAATGTCAGTGGATACGAACGACTACGCGCTGCAAATCATCGACGACCATCTATCGCACTATGACAAACATCTTAGAGATCACAGTTGGAAGTATACAGCGAAGAACTATATGTGCGGAGGAATAAGGCTGTATCTCACACAGAGAGCGAGGACATGTATAATCAACTCAATGCTGAACGTTGAACAACGGCATATTTTCGAACAGATTTACCGTGCAATTCAGAGTCACGAGAGCAGTATTTTCCGTGTGGAGGGTCAACCAGGACGAGGAAAGACTTTTTTGGTGAAAGCGTTATCTTCCGCATTGCGATCACACGGAGATATCGTGTTGATCGTCGGCAGCAGTGCCTTTGCGCAATCGCGTATGACCGCGGACGCACAGCTCACCACACGTTCGGAATACCTGTTACTGACTCGATGACACTGTTGATCTTCACTCCAAAATACAACCATCTTCATTGTGCGCCAACCTCATCCGAAAAGCAGTAGCTATTATCTTCAATGCATGGTGAATCGCAAACAGTTTTCCTTGAGACTAGCTTACGCGACTATACCTTCAATGGCTGCCAAGGTCTCACGCTCTCTTGCACAGTCAGCTCTGGACCTCGGAACTGATCCTTTTACTCATGGTCAACTATATACCGCATTATCCCGCGTCAAAAGCCATCGAGATATGCTGCGCTTATCTTCAGGAGCAAACGAGGAGAAAGATAGCGCAAATATAGTGTACAAAATGTCTTTTGTGATGAAATGAGGTGAGTATGCCAATAAAAAGCAATGACCCAAAGTCGCCGCTTGTATGTACGATCATCAAGTAACTTATCATAGTCTCATGCCGAAAGATACATCATATATTGTACTGTGAGGGAAAGGGAGGTCGATCGTATCCTCTATGCGAGTAACCTCAGATCGACCAGCATGTTGGACAGCCCAGTTCATGACGGGTGTTGAAGTTAGGATAGTGTTACCCAGTCCCACGTGATCATCGCGACCTCGGCATCGCACATGATAGACTGCCCGATCAGCTCGGCGCAGTCATCTAATATGCCATGAGCAGGATGTATGTCGGGTGAGAAGGGAAAATTACCGAGATGCATTCGAACTACCGAGGGGTCCCGCCGGAACCCGGGATTCAACCAATAATGGTCGGACCAACAGGATTTGCGAAGGAAGTTCTATCCAAACATGACCGGTCTCTACGTGTAGCATAGTTTACCGGACAACGCAGTTGGTGGTTGACTTCCAACGATGCCATGAAACCTCCACCGTTACTTTGTGGATACTTGGCCTTCGCTAGTAGATCTACTTCTCCAGCTTTACGTAGGTCATCAATCGTAACCCGGATTGGTAGCACTGTGATTTCATGGAAGTGGATAACGACCGACAGTACAATGGAATACAATTGAATGCCGTATCATCATCAGAAATCCTGGCCCAAGCGGTATCGAGTTCTGGGGGAGGAGGGCTACGATGGTCGGGAGCTTCGGGAGGTCTACTGTTAATATGATAGATGGAAGGAAAATAGACCGTTCCATTGAACCTTATGACAACAGGCTCGACAGCAACACTTGCTGGAGCTGCAATTGGTCAACATTCTGACCATCTAGCGCCATCTGACTACTCACAGTATATATAGCAAGATGAGTTGAAGGCGTGCTTATCCATAGCGTGGAGAACACGGTGTAATTATAAGCGATCCAATGCCTAACCAAGGCCGCAAGCAAAGAGTGCGAGGTTTGGAATGCGAGGTTTGAGATGAGGTTTTGCACTGGGCTTGTCCACCTCACCGAAAATTGTCTCCTCATCAACATCGACGACATCAACAGGAGTGTGGAAACCTTGAGCTATGCTGGCTCCTGTGGTTAGCAGCCGCGTCTACTGTTTGGAGTTGAATACGAAAGCCGGCGAGATACTACGTGTAGATGTTCCACCGTGAGTTCTTGATGTGGAGGATGGATATCAAAATATCATGTTGTAAACGCGCTGCAGCCTATTTTGAGAGCTGGTGCTGGCTACGTGACAACTTGAAACGTGTAATCAAGGAATCTGACACGCTTCTCAAGATCGCTACTCACCAAACGAGTTGATCAATATTGAAATGTGTTGTTTCAATGTCGTTTCGATCATCTTTTCTGGGAAGGGGGTTTTGGTGGTATTAAGACATCCTTTCCAACTTCATTCAACCTCGACACCAGCGACTGACAGCTGGGCAACGAGTCCCCATTGTGATATGTTTTCAAGAGGCTATGACTCACGACACATTGAACTTGCTGGCCTACTGATGTGCTCGAAGACGACTGATGATCCCCAGATGGCGACATAGGGCTCTACAAGCAGTCTTAAGATTGTGTGGAGCTGCGAAGTAGCTCTGTACCAGGTCCTCACACCCCCGCACATTCGTCTTTCATGATGCAACCGCGGACAGTTGCATCATGTTGGAGGGGTGGCAGATGTATTGGGGCGTTCTGGCAGTCCGGACAGATCAGGTCGAGAGTGCCAGGGGTCCTGGTACAGGAGTAGGCTCGTAGTCAGTAGTAGTCCTGCGGCGTGTCGTAGTCCAATCGTAGTCGGTCCTCGATAGATATAGAGCCACAGCCTCCCGCCATGGAGGTTTGGCCTTATGTTTCCCTTGCAGTCGTTGCCCGTTCCAGCACCAGCGTGATTGAGTTTGGCAACTGAATCCAAATTCGAGCCATCACTTACGAATGACAATGGTTTTCCCGTTTTTGCCTTGTGGATTGAGCAGGTGTCAATATTGGCACAATAATATCGTCCGTGCAACGAGTACAAGCACCAGAATCAGCCACCGTGTAGAGTCACTGGAGTGCCGAGCGGAATTCGAAAGTTGACTGTTGCCAAGAGTCTCACCTTAACTATGTAGGACCGTCAATTTTCCGGTCCGAACTGCCATGTGTGGCATTCGTGCCGCGGAGCAACGTGCTCACGTCACTGCCGCTTATTGTGCCTCATTCTGATTGCTATCGACACATCCTCAGGCTTCATATTTTCACCAGATCTCGCATCGCAAGCCTCACACATTGGACTGTCAATTTTTCATATGAAGTGCAAAGATTGCAAGCACCAACATATCAATATTGAGTATGCATATATGGGCGACTACTGGAACGAAGATGGACAGCAGAAGCTGCTCACTCGAGCTTGCTTGGGACCACGTCCCTGTCCTGAAAATGGTCTGTCTACCGTACCTACCACTGTGCATGTCCGTCTGTGGCCAAGACTACCAAGACGGGTGAAATAGCAATGAGCTGGCGTCTCCAGAGATGAGTCATGTTCCTCGAGCACAATGAATTTCAACGTATATGGGCAACCCGAAAACTGATTCTCCGTCAACACCGGTGCATAGAATCTGGTGCCAAGATTGACTTCTTTTCATAACGTGTTGATCCCGAAATGTTGCACATATTGAGAACTGATAGTGCGGGATGACGGAAATTTCAAGCAGGGTCTTAGTTCAGATCCAATTGTTGGCACTTTTAGGTCTCTGAGGTCCACAGGCCGTATGTTGCTTCAAAGATTTATCCTGCCTGTCTGATTCATATCTAACTAATCCCTCTTCTTCGTCCATACGTTATGGGCAAGGAATATTCTGCACAGTATTCTCCTGTCAATGGAGCGGAAGACGAGAAGCTTCTCCATAGGGGTACAGAAACCAGATCTCATTCAAAGTCCCGCTTCCTTCAAGTATCGCTATGGCTCATACATGGTGTGCTGATATCTGTAACGTTACTCTTCTTCACGCTATGGGCACGGGCACCTTCGAAGAATGACATACTCCTGTACTGTAGGTGGACAGACGGCATGACAGAAAGCCTTCCTGACCCATCACAGCTCCAGCAAACGAGGCTATTGAATACAAAGGCATTGTGAGATTCAACGGAAGTTGGGATCGTCATTCGGTATATCGCGGCAATCCGTCTCCAGATCTCGAAGTAGCTTGGAATGGAGTAACTGCCGATGGTTGCACATCTTTGTTCCTATCAAGGTAATGACTGATTGACAACATTTTCAGGGCGGTTTGTATCTATGACGCTCGAACAACTGTTCAAATCAGGGGAAGAACCTGCCCCATTCATGGCTAGGTATCCGGAAGAGTACAGCGGAAATTATTTGGCGAGTGTAGAGGTCATTCACCAGCTTCATTGCATAGTAAGTTGTAACAGGAGGCTACTCGATCTTTACTCACCCCTTATAGAACATGGTTCGCCAATCCAGCTGGGGTGATCATTACCTGGCAGACGATCCTGACTTCATCCTATCCCCTGATGGATGGCGCATTCATCTTGGTTAGCATACTGTTACCTCCCAGCCTACATCCTGCCTGCTAATGTTGTACATCAGATCATTGCGTCGAATTTCTCAGACAGGTCATTATGTGCCACTCTGATGTAACAATAGTTACTCATGATTGGGTTGATGGACTCGACGATCCTTACCCAAACTTCAACGTTCCTCATCAATGTAGGGACCTCGAGAAGATCTTGGATTGGGTAGATGGTCATCGTGTTTACATCCCTCAATCGAAGTTGATCCGCCAAGAGGATAACGTCGACCTTCCTTCCCCCCCTTAATTGTATTCTCGACCCATAGAGAACACACAGGGGGCACGATATCGCATCACGAATGTAACTATAAAGTCGTATAACTTTGCTATGAGCCGAGTTCCATGGACCATAGTGCTTATAGGCTGCCGCACAATAAGCTCCCTTCGAACTGTCCTCCTTAGAGCACGTCTCTCCATAGGACATAAAATTGGAAAAAAAAAGCTCCCTTCGAATTCGATATGTCCAAGACAGTCACGACTTCTGCTGAACAAGGTAGTTCTGTGACCACCGGAAGAACTTTTGACAGCGGCTGTAGTTAATATCTCTCTCCCGATAGGCACAAATCGGATTTAAAAAAAGGTATACATTGTGTACCACGGGGCATAATATAACAGGGTATGACCCCAACTGGCCATTAATTAACAAAGACACTTTAAGTATAAATAAGTCTGTTGTGAAGGTAATGAAGTAATGTGGTATTTTACCGATGACGCTCATGTGTAGCTCCATAATTGTGTTACAAACAGCACGTCATGCGCTGACTTCTACATTCGTTTACATAATCCAAATTGAAGGGGCAAGGTGCTTTTTGGAAAATGTTAGTAGTTCAGCTGAACGCCATGCCACGTTGTATTCCAGCAAGGTCCGACGGGTTAAGAAAAGATATAAGGACCTCCGAATTTTCAACGTAGGCACTGACCAGGTGAACACTGGATCTAACCTTTACTCCAAACATGCGACGCTCTCTTCTTCTTAATGCACTCGCCTCCATGGTGGTTCTTGCAGTCGCATACCCCATGTCGGGAGTGGATACGGGTTCCTGCGAGTGTCCATGACATCAGTAGCATTATAGTTATTAACATATCATGATGCAGTTGTAGCAAAGCGAGATTCGGACGAAGTGGCCGTTGCAGCCTTCTGGCCGATTACCTACTACGGCGACGACGACAAGAAGCGCAGCAAGTATTCATGACCGTCAGTTGACACCACGATGCTGACGTACATATTCAGCCGAGGATGAGGCTCTTGGGGTCTATTTCCCAATCAGCTATGGCGACGACAAGTAGCGCAGCACCAGGAATGTCCCGACAAGTAAGTATTCACCTAGTTGTCAACATATCGTTACTTACATGCCAATACAGTATTATGCAACCATAGCAGGAAAGATGCATTGAACAATAAATTCGCCTTGTAGAACTTGGAGATACAGCACTAATACAAGTTGGGGAGAACTGGAAGGTATCCACTATTGTTGAGCGAAAGTGGGGCTACTTTTAGCAAATGTTGAGAACGTTCGAGGGAAAAATTATTGCGCTGAGTTTGACAATGTGAGCATCGTGCATCAGAGCCATGAGATTACATCACCTTGTTATACACTTGAAAGTCACTATCATATCATCCCATAATTGTGGCTGACGTTTTCAAAAATTAATTTTACTTTTTGTCCTTTGGGGTCGAAGACCATATGTCGGACATGCTTGGCCTGAAGCTTGGAGCGTAGCCAAACATTGGGGGTGTGGGAGTTAGCCAAAATAAATCGTCGCCACCATGGCAGTCGCATGCGTCGTTTCGACTCGAGACAAGGTTCAGAGCAGGGAGAGGGGGTCACCATTGCTGCGAAGGAGTTAAGGACTGTAGCCAGTGACATGCTCGAGCGGTGAAGTCAATAGTTATTGAACCATAAATTCCCTAATTATCATGATTCTTTCGCGTTGTGCTATGTCCTGGCAGATTGGTACTAGAGGAAGGGCAGTGCAAATATGAAAGGGGATGATTGATGATAGCAACGTACATCGGCTAGCAAGTCGAATTACTGGTATTTGAGACCTCGATTGAGCTTCCCAGCGGTCAGGCGAGAAATTTGAAGGCCGCCAACCTTGGACCTGCAGATATTCCAGATAAGTAATAATATGAAAGGGAGCCTTTCGGATAGAGGGTACCTATCGATATGCTGTTCCATCACTGAAAATCAAGATGTGCTACCAATCATTATATCCGCCTTATAATCTGCAATCAGATAAAATACAGCAGGTAGTTAGATAATGTCATATCTACCAATTTAAACACCTACTAGCAGGGCCGCATGCCGTCTCATAATCAGTGTTACTACTCTCTACTCGCAACATCCTCAGTGCGGGAAAGGTGCGCACAACAAGTAAGCGTATTTCTACCTCTTACAAGCTCACGCTGAGGGATCCTGGTAGAATTAAGAGTTGATCTAATGCCAAGTTGAGCCCAAAAAGAAAAGCAGGACAAAACTTCTTGACTGGAGCGTGATTCGAACACGCGCCCTTTCGGACTAGATCCTGATTCTAGCGCCTTAGACCACTCGGCCATCCAGCCGTGTAGAAGCAGACCTTCGCGAATATCATGTATTCAATCTGTTGGTTGTCCTTATGCACGTTTCTTTGATAAACAATTTCTCACTGACGTGCATGATCAGAATTCGCAGAGAATCGCTTACCGAGGAATAACAAGTCATTTGTTTGAAGAAAAGTCACACATGCAATATCTATACCCCTCACAATTGCAATGCAAGCTCAAGCAATCAATTGTGCATCCAATATAGCCATGTACACCCAGGCATACGATTTGCTAGAGCCACTATTGCATAGCAGTCGGTGCCGGGGTGGGAATGATGATGAATCCATTTTCAGGGATATCAATAGGCTATCTATCGGACGACGGGATTTACGCCCCTTGCAGCCAGATAGTCCTTCGCCGCGCTTGGGCTCTGCGAGAAGATTTGAATAAAATTTAAACGGGAGATAGCAACTTCTTACGAGGTTCTTAATAAGTTCATAAACGCTCTTGTCGTGATACCTTAGTCCAGTCCGGGGATCGGTATACGGTGCCTAGTGATTTGACATCGACAGAATATTCTTCTTCGCAGAACAGTTGAACACTGACCTCCAGCCCTGTAATATCGCAGTAATGTCTCTGTGGCAGAACAGATGGTGGTGCTTCTATCGATAGGTCTAGAAGAATCAGTTCCATCGACTGCACGGAAACCCCATGCTCAACTCACAGGTTGAGATTTCCTCGTCCACCTCGGCAAGCTCTTTCTTAACTTCAAAAATATCCATCGCCTGATTATCTCTCTCTTGTCTCCGCCTCTCTCTTTCGACGCGTTCTTTCTCCCGTTCCTGACCTAGAACGGTTTTCAGGTTCTTGGTTCGACGGTTCGCATTTTTAGTGTAGTTAGGATTCTTGAATGGACGAGGGCTATGCAGGTATGACAGCTGCTCGGCGAGAGTCTAATACTCTGTATTGAGCGAGCGAATTGAGTGACAAAATGACACAAACAGGAGTATGAGTGGTGGAACCGTCGTTCGCGGCCTTCTTCTTTGTTGTACCTTTGGGCGGCCTGTAGGTTCAACATTAAACCACCAATTAAATCATCATAATGCCCTACATCAAATATACTTCAGCAATGCAGTAGGGCGTGGCTCTGGAGCGGCGGGCGGTGTTTGCAAAGGTTTTATGTAAGATAAACTTAGATTTAAGGAAGAACTTAATAATCAATATTTAGGAAGAATTTTCGGTAAGGTACTATCCCTTCCACTGCAATCGGCACCCACAAAAGTCAGCAGTCACGCAAATGTCACTGCAAGTCACGACATGTCACAATAGGTTGGTTTCAAAGTCAGCTCAGCAGTCAAGCAACAGCGCAACTTGAAGATCAGTTAGTATTGGGCGTGAGCGAGCAAGTACAGTATTTGCTAGTAGATATGTGTAAGTACAAGGATGACCATTGTTAGTATTGTAGTTGTAAATTTGTGTCCTGTTGACTATTGTGCATGATGCAGCGGCTGAATTCTTCAAACGTGTTTTTCCCGCCTGAAAGAGTGCAGAAAAACATTGGTTGTTAGCAAAGTGCTGATTTCCGGTGTCAGCAAGAAACTCTTTGATTCTCGCCCTGAGTTTCTCGACCGTCCCATCTCTCGCTGCTAGACTTCCTCATGACTCACAGCAGCGCTGCACCCCAGCACGAGTCGGCACTTCCAAAATGGGCATGTGCAGTTTGAAACTCCGTCACGGCACATATCGGCAGGTGACATTTCTGCGTGACTTCAGCACTTTCAATTATCTCACTCAATTCCGCTCCAATCATGGTCGTTCAACCTCGTAATGAGTTGCATTAGAGACAGAATGCTATTTATGCTAAGAATTTTGTGTTGAAGTAGCTAGAAATACGAGTTTTGTGAAAGTGCTGACTTCTGTGGGGTGCCAATTGCAATGGAAGGGATAGTAGTTCTCAAGTGCGTTCATCAGACCTCACGTGACAAATCATGACAATAGCATTACAAGTAGATAAAATATACATCACAATTCAACTATGATACATATAAAAAATATTGCATTGCACAATGATGCAGAAAAACGATAAAAAATTATGAGCACTTTCCGTTTTCCGAGATAACAACAGGAAGAGTTGTTATGTTGAAATTTTGAGTTGGAGAGTACTTATTTGCTGAAAAGTACTGTGTATGTGCTGTGGCAGAGCTTGTAAGTGATTCTGCCTTGAGCATGGCTGGGTGCAAGTGCAAGGTGATGGCCTGGATGGCCAACTTACCATGGAAGAAGAGGAGAGTCAGTACTGATTCATACAATGAGGATCAGTGTCATATCCCACAATCTGGACCCACATTCCATCATATTCCCACGCCTGCTGAGCCTACATCCGGACCCCACTTCATATCCAACTCATTCCCAGATCCCCTTCTGCTATGTGCTCCACACCTCAGCAGGATCGACTATGCTCTGGATTTACCCCTGAGCTCCAGACCATTGAATCTCCACTGCTAGCCTGAACCATAACCCCCTGTCCCATCCACCCTATGCACACTCCATCCAGCAAGACATCTGGACTTCACCTTGTCTCAGATTCCAGACTATATCCACCTTCTCATATCCTGGTCCTGTATCCACCTTGTCTTCCAGATCCCCAGATCTCTGGACCTCTGGATATTAACTCCGGACCTATTCCCACCCTCTGTCCAATATCCTGCACCTATCCCCATTTAGGCATCTCTGCCTTTCCAGCTTTCAGTTACCTCCTGTTCCATCTTGCTTATTGATCCTTATATAAGTCTTCATCTCCAAGTTCATTTAGTTATGTTCCATCTTACTTACTAATGTGTTTCCACATGCTTATACATAGCCTGCTCCTTTGCTTACTGATCCCCTCAGACATTGTCCAGTATATAACCCCTGTAGATACTCTTGTAGTTCCTCAGTTTGAATATCAACTTAGACTTGCCCAATCCTCTCTCGGACTTTGGTCCACCTAAGTCTGTCCTACTCATCAGGCCTAGGGATTGATTCCCTAGGCCGGAGCTTTGCCTTTCTGGCACTTACCCTCTTTCCAGGACTTAGGTCCAATCCCTGTTCTCTCTGACTCTACCTTAGGGTAGTCTACCTCTGTTTGCTTCTACATGTAGACTTCATCCAATGTAGCCCCTATTCCTTCCAGACCTCCGGACCTCCTGTCCCTTGTACCTCTGGGCATCCTGTCTTTCAGATGTTCCGCCCTCTGTACCTTCGGACATCCTGTCCTTCTGTCCTCCATCATCCTGCCCTCCTGTCCTCCCATCCTTCCATCCTGTTTCCTGTAGAAGTATTACCTTGCAGTGGGAACTCTCCTGAACACTTCCTGCATTCCTCTGGAACTCTCCTGTGCTCCTCTGGAAGTCCTCTAGCACTCCACCAGAGTAGCCAGCCTCCAGAAGTCCTCCAGACTTCATCAGACCATCATAGACCTCATATGAAATGAAGGGCACATACTCAGGTAAGGGGCACAGTGTATGAGCTGAGGCCAAGCCCCTCTGAGTCAGTCTCTCTCCTTTGAGCAACATGGTTCTTAACAACCAGGTAAGATTGTACCTTATAATTTTTGTGGAACTGACATGTATAATTTAATGCTGGGGCAATGCAAAATGCAGATATTGTAAATTTCTGCATTCATCAAAGGAGTCTGATTTAGAACACAATGTGATCAAGGCCCTTGACTCAGTCACACTAGAATCAAATGCACAGTATGTTGTCTTTTGGAAACTATTTTTCATCTTGTACTGACCAGTATCATTCTACAGATATTCTATTGGATCTCAGAGGTTCATGGATGCATATCAGAAGGGTCTGAATGGACAACAGGCAGCATGGGCTGCAAAGTGCTACCACAGGTCATCGTGTACTCCCTGATGCCATCATGCATGAGTTTGATAATGAAACCATTCAAGTTTGATGGTATCAAACATATACTTACATCTGGCTAACAGTCCTTTACTCTAGACAGTTTATATTCACCCTGCTACAATACATTTTCTTTAGTGTAATTAGTTGTTACTATCACTCATGTTTCACATGAACAACTCCACCTTTCAGCTTGTCCAGCATCAATTATCCTTGCAGTTGTCACAGACCTGTCACATCACATGAGGTCTGATGAACATGCTTGAGAACTACCTTAACTATTGAAGTTAGATCAAACGTAGCTATCAATTGTAGTCAGATGGCAAGGCTTTCAGTTTCACTGCTTCATACAGTACTGGCAACATGGTACTAGGCTATGAAATGTCATACATCACAAGATGAACAAGTCATAAGCAGTGCTAGTCTAGTGTTGTGTGTCAAGGAGAGCTTGAAATATGTGAAGACTGTTCTGCTTATGAGACTACTGTAGGATGATACAGAATGTAACAAAAGTTAAATGCAAAGATACTTCTCTACACAGTCATCAGATCAAGTATAATTATGCTATCGTGGAACAAGTGAACAGACATTTATTACTACTCAAGGAGCTGGGGAGAACTCTTGGTAAATGAACATGGACACCAAAGCTCTCATTGCCACCCTTCATTGGGCTGCATATTGAAGAGAATTACAAGGGAGGTAATACCTGCAGCATGTGGTTAGACATTTGGGTGGGTGAATTGAGATATATTAGAAAAAATGCATACCTTTGCAAGTTTCTGCCCTTCGGATAAGATATCAAGACAAGACCACAGACCCTTCAAACACCACTGCTGTTTAAGCCAGGAAAGGAGGTGAAGATTCCAGAAAGCATGGAATTTACAGTTGAGCATATCATCCATGTGGATTTGGAGCACATGAGAGATGGATAGCCCAGTTTTGACAGGTGTACTTAAGAGTGTTGGAAGATAGTTGACTTTTTTGGTGCATTTTGTGTGCAAAAGTCATGAAGGTATTCATAGCATGGATGATCTTCCTGTTTGGCAGACAATGTGTTGATAATGCAGAGATGGAATGATGCTGGTGGTTTAATGCCATCAACGTCAGCAACATTAAGAAATCCGGCAAGGTTTTGAACTGGTCAATAACATGGAAGGCTAGCAGTAGGGGCGATTCTGGAATGATGATATACTTGCTGATTGCTTCCAACACACTTGAGAATTCCTCCATAGTTACCCAGAAAGATGCTGCAGGAGTGGATTGCCATGTTTGTCCATGGGGTGTCTGCAGCCAGTCTTGTCCTCCCTGGGTCTGCAGCCAGTTGTGCACCCCCTTGGTCTGCAGCCAGTCTCATCCTCACTGGGTCTGCAGCCAATTGTATGCTCCCTGGGTCTGCAGCCAGTCTCGTCCTCCCTGGGTCTACACCCAGTCTTGTGCTCGCTAGGTCTGCACCCACTCTTGTCCTTCCTGGGTCTGCAGCTGATGTCTTCCTCCCTGGGTGTCATATCCACATATCCAGATCTCAGATCCAATCCACATCTTATCTCTGATCCTATCCACATCTTATCCCCCTCCAACATCTCATCATCCAATCTGTCCACTCATCTGGTCTGGTTCACAATTCATCCAAATCCACAACCAGTGCTTATCTCCTTTCAGTAATCCCCTAACTCTGGTATTTTAGCTATCTGTATATCTGTCCTGCTCCCTGATCCATTACCTATGCTTCATTTCATGTTCATGATTTGTGATCTGTTTCTACTTACCAATAGACTATCCATATGCTTCATACATAGCCTTAGACTCTGCTGATTGATCATTCCATTAGATACCTATAGTATATAACCTCCTGTAACTCTCTGTAACACCTCAGTTCGAATATCATCTTAGTTCTACTCATTCCTGTCCTCTGGACTTGAGTATCTCTACTCTTGTCACCCTCTAAGACTTAGAATTGATTCCTATAGTCTATCCTGTATCTGCCTCTGTCTTTGACAGTCCATTACCATTAGTTTCTAGTCTGGACTTGTCCAGATTAGCCTTGCTGATACTTATCCCTTGTCCAGAAGTCATCCAGATCCACTATACTACCTAGTCCAACCCTCTGGATGTGTTAGTCTTGCCTTCCTGAAATAAGGGGCAATACTCGGGTAAGGGGCACAGCACATGAGCTGAGGCCAAAGCCCTTAGGATCTGTTAACCCTTGAGTATGACCTTAACACTGGGTCTCTGACAAGCATGATAAGTCTAACATGCTCTGAAGTTCTGGCATCGAACATATCTCCATCTGCCACTCTAATCCTGCATTGGTCTGCAGCCATCATCATCCTCCCCAGGTATGCAACCAGGCACACCCATCCTCATTCCACAGCTAGACACTCCCATCCTTGGTCCCCAGCCAGACACTCCCATCCTTGGTCCCTAACCAGGTACTCCCATCCTCGGTCCCTAACCAGGCACTCCCACCCTTGGTTCCCAACCAGGCATTTCCATTCTCGGTCCACAGCCAAAATTGTAAATCTAAAGTACACTCTCCCCAAAGCCATAGTATACCAATAAGAACCGACAGCAGCTCCAGTGGCTGAATGAGGAATGCTAATGAGTCTTTCAATTTTTTGGGGTCCTCTGGCTGCATTGCTTGGCTCTCCTTCTTCAGCTCTAAGAGCGCATCCAAGAGGTCTGTGCTTTCAGGGATCTCTTTCATCATCAAGCAAAGAGAGGAATCAGCAAGTAGTGAATGGGGTGATGGCACATCATGCACTTCAGGGAGGCTGCAGTTTGAGGGGTTGGAGACATAGTCATGAATGGACGAGTGATATAAATTCACAGGGAGACTGGTGTCTGTAGGAATATCCATGACAGGACCATAGCTGCACTAGTGTTGCCTTGGCATCACAGCCCTGACCAGGGCCAAGAAGTTTCGAGGTTTGTGACAGTGGCAGAGGATCTCCAAGTGCAGTGACAATGGACAAGTGCAGGTATGCCCACTTGGGATTGGCACATGTGGAGAGGATACAATCATATAACTTGTACACCTCTGTTCCTGCTAGCAGCTCGCTCGTCAGTTTGAGCATCAGCTGTAACTGATTGCCTGGGATCCTTGTATCCATCATCAACAATAAATTTCATCATCATCAATGCTACAATGAAATGTCTGCCAACTTAGCTCACCAGCTTTGCAAGGTTACCCCCTGATGGCTGCAGGAAATCAGGATGGCAGCATTGCAGCTCTCCAAATGAATGCTCCAAGAACATATAGATGTCACTATTAACATTGGCACCATCTAGTGAGATAATGGTAGCAGGGCCCTCCCCTGAAGTTTTCACTGGTATCTCGCACACCAGCAGGTGTACCTCTTCATTCTGGAAGGCTTTACAGATATGCAGTTCCAAGCTGACTCATGAGCAGAATGTGGGCCATGGGCAGATCAGGTTCACGAAGAGCCTGCACAAGGGAAAGATGAGATTGATAAGCTTAGTGTGACAATCATACCAGTGCTAGGCATATATGATCAATAGCACTGGTTCTTCTCACCTTCAGAAAAGGAGATAAAGCACGGATCATTAAATCCATATATATTGACCCATCTGCTCTTACTCTGGTCCAGTCCTAGGAATCCACCCTCCCATGTCCTATCCATGTCCACCTATCTCTGCTGGTGCATTATTTTTCCCAAAATGTCATTGCTAAATGAGCTGCAGGTCTTATTACACAACTACTCATGTTCTGCAGCGCATGATGTTTTATTACCTATAGACTCATCACACGCTCACTAACTACACTACAATTCTCACCTACACATTCTGGACATTCACACGCTACGATATAAATGACCACAGTACATACAATTGAGTAGTTCCCTTCCCCCCCAGACTCAGCTCTATAGGAGAGTCGTTCTTGCATTATTTTTGTAGACCTTGTGCAATCCATCTATTTTTCTCTTTCTTAGCAATCCTGTGCAATTCAACCACTCTGAAATTCCATACCACTAGGATCTTACCCTTAAGCTCTTGCAAGAATACCCAACCTATGACTGGTAGTTTAGTGCAGTTCTTCACTTGTGCTATATCCCTTGCGACCAGCTGCTCCATAGAGTGCAGTTGATTTTGTGCACGTTTGTCATATCCCACAATCCAGACTCACATTCCATAGTATTCCCACGCCTTCCAAGCCTACATCTGGACCACACTTCATATCCAACTCATTCCCAGATCCCCTTCTGCTGTGTATTCCACACCTTAGCAGGATCAACTACACTCTGGATTTACCCCTGAGCTCTGGACCTCTGGATTCTCACTGCTAGCCTGATCCATACAACCCTATCCTGTCCACCCTATGCACACTCCATCCAGCAAGACATCTGGACTTCACCTCATCTCAGATTCCAGACTATATCCACCTTCTCATATCCTGGTCCTGTATCCACCTTGTCTTCCAGATCCCCAGATCTCCGGACCTATTCCCACCCTCTGTCCAATATCCTGCGCCTATCTCCATTTAGGCATCTCCGCCTTTCCGGCTTTCGGTTACTTCTTCTTCCATCTTGCTTATTGATCCTTGTACAAGTCTTCATCTCTGAGTTCATTTAGTTATGTTCCATCTTACTTACTAATGTGTTTCCACATGCTTGTACATAGCCTTGCTCCTTTGCTTACTGATCCCCTCAGATGTTGTCCAGTATATAACCCCTGTAGATACTCTTGTAGTTCCTCAGTTTGAATATCAACTTAGACTTGCCCAATCCTCTCTCGGACTTTGGTCCACCTAAGTCTGTCCTACTCATCAGGCCTAGGGATTGATTCCCTAGGCTGGAGCTTTGCCTTTCCAGCACTTACCCTCTTTCCAGACTTAGTTCCAATCCCTGTTCTCTCCAACTCTACCTTAGGATAGTCTACCTCTGTTTGCTTCTACATCAGACTTTGTCCAATGTAGCCCCTACTCCTTCCAGACCTCCAGACCTCCTGTCCCTCATACCTCTGGGCATCCTGTCCTTTGGACGTTCCACCCTCTGTACCTTTGGACGTTCCACCCTCTGTACCTTTGGACGTTCCACCCTCTGTACCTTTGGACGTTCCACCCTCTGTACCTTTGGACGTTCCACCCTCTGTACCTTTGGACGTTCCACCCTCTGTACCTTTGGACGTTCCACCCTCTGTACCTTTGGACGTTCCACCCTCTGTACCTTTGGACGTTCCACCCTCTGTACCTTTGGACGTTCCACCCTCTGTACCTTTGGACGTTCCACCCTCTGTACCTTTGGACGTTCCACCCTCTGTACCTTTGGACGTTCCACCCTCTGTACCTTTGGACGTTCCACCCTCTGTACCTTTGGACATTCCACCCTCTGTACCTTTGGACATTCCACCCTCTGTACCTTTGGACGTTCCACCCTCTGTACCTTTGGACGTTCCACCCTCTGTACCTTTGGACGTTCCGTCCTCCTAACCCTCGTACATTCTATCCTCCTGTCCTTCAGACATCCTGCTCTCTGTACCTTCAGACATCCTGTCCTTCATACCTCCAGACATCCTGTCCTTCTGTCCTCCATCATCCTGTCCTCCTGTCCTCCTGTCCTCCTGTCCTCCTGTCCTCCTGTCCTCCTGTCCTCCTGTCCTCCTGTCCTCCTGTCCTCCTGTCCTCCTGTCCTCCTGTCCTCCTGTCCTCCTGTCCTCCTGTCCTCCAGACCTTCAGACCTCCTATCCTTCCATCCTGTTTCCTGTAGAAGTATTACCTTGCAGTGGGAACTCTCCTGAGCACTTCCTGTGTTCCTCCAGAACTCTCCCACACTCCTCCAGACATTTCACGCGCTCCTCTGGAAGTCCTCTAGTGCTCTCCAGCAGAGTAGCCAGCCTCCGGAAGTCCTCCAGACTTTGTCAGACCATCATTGGACCTCATATGAAATGAAGGGCACATACTTGGGTAAGGGGCACAGCATATGAGCTGAGGCCAAGCCCCTCTGAGTCAGTCTCTCTCCCCCTTGAGCAACATGGTTCTTAACAGTATATTCAAACTCACGCCTTACCGAGTATACTTACTTCTACCTATGGCTCCTATGAAGCCCTTGTGTTCCAACCCCTCTTGAGTACACGACCTTAACAACATTACATCTGCCACACCAGCATCTGACATCCAATACACTCGCACATATCTTCCAATGGTTCATCCCACTCTTGTGATACTAACATCAGTCAATTTTTGCCCATGCTCACAGTCGATTCTTGGCATAAAAATTCAATGGTATACATATGGTCCACACTCAAGTTTCTTAGGCTGACATAGGTTATAACTCCTTCGCTCACTTACTTCCCTTGCACATAATTGAAGGAAGTGCTTCAATAACAGTCCTCTTGGGCTGATCAATTAACTCGCGCCTCTTAGGATAAGTAATGCTAGTTGCTAACCACATAGTACCTATTTCTTCTTCACATTGGGTTCAGATGTGCATTTATCAAGGGCATCGACAACAAACAACAAAGGTGGACCCCCATGCAGTCTGAGTCAAAGCCACCAGAGAGGTTGGAGAAAGAGGGCCTCCATCTGGTCACAGAGAGGTGTGCCTGGATCTAGTAGAGCAGGATTGTCCCAGATAGTTTTGTTCACATCATTCCAAATGCTGGGGAAATTGGTGGCAAGCTGGTAGACAAGTGTCACAAAAAAATATCCAGCTGTGCAGCATTTCATGTGCTTGTGCAAGAAAAAGAATGTCCCCACTAGCTGCTTTTTGATGTTCATCTCTTCTGTCATTTTTAGACCTCTCATCCTCACAGCTACTGTGAATGCAACAGCAGACTTTCCGACACCAGCCATGCCATGCAGCCAAATGAGCTGATTCTTCTCTGTGCTGTCCAGAAATCCATGAATGTGTTTGAGGAGATCCACCCAGGTCCCTTCCAAACATTTTGGGTGGGGATGACATTCAGGGGAGTTATATTGAGCACCCTTGACAGTGACCTCAGACAACTTCACCCAAATTCCATGAAGAGCTGTCAAAGAGGTCAGACAGCATGCAAGAGATAAGAAATGGAAGTACTGACATTGATCATCACTCATTGATGAAGGTTGTATATGCAAGATGCAATGAACCAATTGAAAGTACAAGCTGGGTTCAAGGGTGTGGTTAGAAATAATATTGGTGATGGTTATCTCAAGGGACCACATGTGAAGATTTGAATTGAAGCTTGTGAGTTGTGACAAGACTCAGGTCATGGGGCAATTAAGCTGTTGATTGATGGAGAGTGCGAAGCGTGATGAAGATAGGATAGATGAATGGATATTGTAATCTATGAAAAGCTCACTGAATGGTTGTGGAATGCAGTTTGCTCAGTGCTTGCAGGAGGACATGAGGTTGCTGTGCAGTCACACTACTGCACAGCTAGATGTACATATGTGAGTAAGTAGTGCTTAGAATTTAGATGTGTGTACCTCACACAGCAGGGATTAGTGATAAATCATAAAAATGCTGCACCGTGGTCCACTGCGACTGCTGCGGCAACTGCTGTGACCAACTGTTGCAGACCCCAGTGGATGCATCAACTACACTCACTGTTAGTCACTGAAATCTCCCAATACTTGTCCTCCAAACGCCAAACGAGCTATAGAGTCGAGCATGTGCCAAATCCTTACATTTATATCTACATTCACAAAGTCACTGTCAGGTGGTATCATCAAGATTTACACAAGTACTCCAGTCTGCAAGGTTGAAGTCAGGTCTTCCATATATTGTTTCAACGACTGTCCTCTTGGTCACTAAATAATCTTTCATATTACATTGCAGTCTGATTCCTCCGCATACAATGTTATTCATCTTCCTTCCAAATGAGTGACTGCGCAGTCATGGGCATCATCTCAAGACGTGGTCAGTGCCACCTTCCTTCGCTTTCTCAGCCCTCCATTGCATTTTGTTACCTGTTGCTTCTGAGGTCCTGACATGTCTTGCTCAACATTGTTGCTGTCACTGAAATCTGGCCCGCACTAAGGTGAGTGTTAACTGGGAGCATTTCGAAAGTTGTGAGGAGGCAGCTACCTTGGTTTGTGGTGGACTGTTCCTCTTGGAGTTGCTTTTTTGTGGCTGCAGGACAGCAGTAGCAGAAAGCCAAGAATGAAACATGTGAGGCAACCACTGAACTTGTCACCACCAATTCAGCTTTCTTTGGATGGGATTTGCTCGTGTTTTTTTTTTTTACAAGTTTGTCCCTTCGAGACCTAACAGGACAGATAGTGGCCTGATTGCGATGACACCTCATCTTTTTCATCTTCTCACGAGTTTCATCCAAAGCAGGCAGCACAAGATGAAGCCCTTGGGGTTGGCATGGTCAAGGTATATAGCACTTTTCTAACTGCAACAGGGGTGCCCTATGTCAAGATGCTCTGAGTATGGACAATACAGGTCATCTCGAAGACCCATACGAGGAGCTGTGTGTTGAGAAGAACAAGTACATCAGTAAGAGTATTTTAGAAGTGGATTACACGGATGAGTATTGGGAGATGCAATATATGGTAAGCTTTGTGTCTGAGAAAATGAGTGTATGTGTACTAATGTCTGAGTAGCTTCGCAATGACTCGACCCTTTCTTTGAAGCGCCAGCATACAGGTGTTCCTTTGCCAGATACTACTAGGGGTTGATTACCTGGTGGTGGTACTTGTATACAACCCTTCTGTGGGGTTGAAAACACAATTTTTTACTTGCAGGGAAATATTCTAACATGATACCTGAATGTGGGATCGAGGTGAAAGCTGATCAGGAGGATTTACCGAAAATGTCGCTGTCCATGATGTTTCTTCACTTGGGTGAGTCCTCGTGTCTTTTTCATAGGCATTTTCAGGATGGGCATTTTCAGGCTTTACAGATTTATTGAAGATGTGTATGCACGCGCAAATCGCACCCTCTTATGTCTCCTGCTGCATGATCAACAGCTCATACCTCGGCTCTGCTCTCTCAAGCGTTATTTCTTCCTGGCCTCCTCATCCTTCCTCACCCAACTCTTATACCTTGCCCACACAGAGCCGAAGAAACCCACGAAAGGTGTAAGTATCGTTAAGCTATAGAATCTGCTTGACCTTGCACTTACAGGGGAAGATGCTGCATTCCGCGAAGATGTAGGAGTCAGCATCGTGAGCAGTGGATTGTATGAATGGTTACCCAAGGTCATCAAGTAAGCGGCGTCATCGGCGGTGAGGAAGAAGCAAATAAAAATCGCAACCAGGAGAAGGATGACAAGAAGCCCATGTTAGGTATATGCATAAAGCCTTTGTGCTACTGTCCTTGCTCATCCCAAACAGGCGATTGGTGCCCTTACACTCGACTATACCGTGAAATTCCCACATTCACTCTTTTACTCGTTGTCTCTTGCAAAACAATTTTATGTCATCAGATCCTTTTTTGTTCTCTCTTACTCTCAAGCATGTAGAACAGTCACTTACATCGATGTGGATATGACAGAAGACAAGTCCCTTGTGGCGTTCCATGCCCAACTACCCTGAGTTCAAGCAGTAGCGACTGCAAGTTCCACTCCTGAGAGCTCGGATGCTCGCTTTTGTCCAGCAAATACAGGCTTTCATGACCTTTGAGGTTCTTGAATCCAACTGGCAGGCACTAGAGGCAAAATTGGCTAAGGTAACCACCGTAGACCAGCTTCCAAAGGATCACATAGACTTTCTGGGCATGTGCCAAACTGTTGAAGGTATGTGTGCAATCTTGGACCTAAACACCAACTGATTGTCCTCCAGGCATACTCCCACATGATAGTGATGTGCTCTACATTCACACTGTTGTAAGGATTCCATATTCTCTACACCCCGACCAAGCTCTAAAATGAACACCAATGAACCACACAGTTGCAATCGTCCACGTGACTCATTGATGCAAAGAGTGCAACTCTTTGCATCCGAGTTACATGGATACATTCCTTCATCTCCCTTGTCCATTTTCTTTCATTACCTTACCTTGTGCTCAGACCTCACCATCTCCTTGTCTCACCGAAGTATTTTCACCTCGCCTTATGCTTCATGTTCTCATTCCGGCCTAGTCAAGTATTTGAAAACGTATATATACTGCTCATGTACTCTCCTACCTACAGCGAATCTTAGAGTCAGATTCCCACTCCAAGAACAACCAAAAAGTCCTTCAGAAAGTCTCTGTCACAGCCAATTTCCAACTCATCTCTCTTCAAAATCATTTTAATTGCAATTCCCTACTGAACTCACACTTAGCCTTACATATTTTGAAGCCCACCATGAGGGAATTGTTCTTGAACAATCCCTTGCATCCCAAGTTGATTCGTCGGTCGATTACTGACCTTCTAGTCTCTCTCTCTTAGCACCCGGTCATCTGACCACCCTTCTCATCATTTCAAAGTATTACCACCCCAACACTCAGCTACATCTTCAACAAGATGCGCTGCCTGTGCTGGCCCCTTCAAAAGACGCCATACCACCAAAGAAGTGCTGGAATCGTGCTAACACCTATACTAGTAGTACCCTCACCACCCTCTCAAACTCACTTGCACTACCTCCTGATATGAATGTCGTCACCCCGACTCGCCAAAAACCGGAACAGCGCACTAGAAGTATTAGAGACTCCTCCGAAAGTTGAACAGAATCATCCCTGTCGGACAACAACACTATAAACCAACTGTTTCCCACTGACTCCCCCTTTCCTTCACTTCCCCGCAACCTATGTTCATTCTTAGACCAGCTGTATTCGATCCAGAAACTCCTACCCTCCCCCTAATATCAACCAACCTAGTAATTGAGGAACCAGCAACTCTGATCACTACACTACCTCCTATACCCCGCCCAAGTTTCTCAAACCTCCCTCACTCCCTTCTAAACCAACCAAACACTCCGTGAATCCCTCCATCTCCCCAGCTCTCCAGGTTACTGCTCCTACCCCTAACACTCCTCCCTCTTGCAAACCACCATCCTCATCTCAGACACTCCCAACCCCCTCCACTCTAACATCAGCCTCACTGGTCATGTCAAACATAACTAAAGGAATGGCAGCCATGCCTGGACCCGGATCCCACAAAGCACTGTTGTTTGAGGGCGAAACATCCAAGCTCCTCAACTTCTTTGAACTCTTCAAGGACTTAGCTGCCTCCTGCGCACTTATGGACAAGCAAAAATGCAAGACCATTGTGAGATATACCAACACTCTCACCAAACGGTTTTGGGTCATGATACCTGGATACAAGAGCAAGGACTACACACTCTTCAAAAGGAATATCCTGGCCAAGTACCCCCATGCTAATCGGGGCATATGGTACACCATCCAAGATTTGGAACACCTTATCCTTAACACCACGGAATCAGAAATCTCCACCAAAACAGAGCTACTCCAATATTACTGTCAGCTCTGTCCTATTGCAGCTTGGCTGATCATGAACTCTAAGATTACAGCTTGTGAACGCGACCAGTACTTCCTACAAGGATTGCCCCAGTCAGTATGCCAAGCTATTGACCAACGATTGGAGCTCAAGGAGACGAATTATACCCGTAACGAAGCCCCAGATATTGAGAAAGCCTTAGAGGCTGGGTAATTTGTTCTCTTGGATGATGCATACAATGCTGACTTACATGAACCTATTGCCAGTCGCCTTAGATCGATACATGAGGCATGAGTGCCCAAATCCAAAGCATCCCGCCACGATCCAGACTCAGATGAAGAAGAAGAACGGCGAGACACACAATGGGAGGTGCAGACCAAACGAGTGGCCTTTAGAACCCCTGCCCCTGCTAAATCAACCAAGGACGAAGTCAACGACCTAGCTTGAAAGATGCACAGCCTCGATATTACAGATGCCACCTATGCCGTTTGCTATACTCACCTTGCTGGCTTAATGCCAACTGCAGCTCAAGCATGGCCTTCACTGAAATCGCATCACTTCGTCGGCACTGTACCTACCCAAGCATTGCGTCCCCCTTCCAACCCACATCACCTCGTCAGTACTGCACCCAGTAAAGCTCCAATGTCATACCTACCCCTTCTGCCTCTTCCATCCATATCTAGCCAACAGCCAGGCCCCACATGTTTCTTCTGTGGAGGTCCCCATGTCATGCGTGCTTGCTCAACCGCTGGTGAATACTTACAGGCTGGGCAAGTCATCCGAGAAGGGCAGTTCTTTGCCTTCCAGACAAATCCTGAATACGACGATATGGGAATGAGATGTTTCAGCAGGTAATTGATGCAAGATATGCTATGCCTGCCCTTCTGGTTCCCACCACTGGATCCAATGCTATACTGGTAAACAATCTTCGACATGAAGCAGTGCCACAAACCTCCACCAAAATCCCCTCCTCCACCTTCATATCAGAATCCTACTTCCTACAGTGCACCCCAGTAGTGGAGAACCATGCGGTTATAGCTACAATTGAGGAAGAAGAAGATCAGAGAGACATTAATGCTATCATGCGGTCAAAAGCGAAAGAGAG